GAACTGTGTAACTTTTCCAACTTTTGTAATATTTTTTGTTTTAAAATTATTCACACTCGGGTAAAGAGTATACTACTGCTTGTGGTCTCATGTCAGTTTCTTCTCAACCAAATTTAACAAAGACTTAAGTTAGACACACGTATATGGAGTTTACGTACCTGATTACGTGTTCTTGAGGTGTTTCAGGAGTGTCCGACCTCTTTAGGGAAACTTAGACGGCCATTTGGCCGTTCCTTCCCAAAAAGGCTAAGCCAACACAAATCTTGAAAGACCAGAGAAGTTACAACTATGGCCATTATTAACTTTAGTTTTAGTCTTTTAGATAACAAAAATTATACACGTCATAACAAAAAAATTAAACATGTTATTTTGTAGTATGTGAAAAGAAAGGTATGCTGACACCGAGATGTTAAATATCTACATTACATGTTACAAACGTTTATACTCCCTCCGTTCTTTAATAAATGGTGTTTTAACCTTCTAATTTTGTTTTTAAATAAATGATGTTTTCAGTTTTCAATGCAAAATTAATTATTTTTTTATTGGTTTTGACGATTTATATTCTGTAGATTATTTTTTATTGGTTGATTAGATAATAAATGATGTTTTAGTTTAGAAATAAACAAAAATTAAATGATTTCTTAATCGATTTGCATTTTCCTAAAACATCACTTATAAAAGAATAGAGGGAGTAATTAATTCCTTGTGAAGATCTATTTTTTAACAAACGCTTTAGTTAATTTCCAAAGAAATTATAAATTTGTTCTAAAGTTTAGTCATATGACTGATTAACTCGAAGTTCATTATTGCTAAAGGCATTTAAAAGGTCAAGTCTTTTTCTAGTGGTAACTCGTTGAATATGACACTAATTTTTTTTTTTTTTTTTTAGCAACATTTCATAACAAAAATGATAAATCTTTTCATGATTTTGGCTTTTGTGGTCTTCCATTCCACTTACTCTTCTAAAAAAAGGAAGATGCGAAATGTTGCATGTCTGTTTTTAGTATCATAATTTTTGTTGCCATCCACTTGATGGAAAGAGCTTTGACACTTCTCTACCTCAATCAATTCATAACTCATAAGTAGTACATTAAATTATGTTGTTATCCTATCATCTTTTTTTAATAAATTTAGTTAAAACTATAAACTTTAAAATTTTACAGCCCTGATGTAATTTCATAAGAAATAATAAAAAAAAAAAAGTGAAAAATTTATAAAGTTACTTGTCTATTTAAAGTAAAGTAAACCTTTCACCAATCTTAATTCACAGAGAATTTAATGTTGATTAAAGCATAGTAAAAGAGTACCACTTCTTTTTTGACATCAAGATTGAAGAATAGTACTATTTTTGAATTATATATCTTTCTTAATAAATACAAACGATCTGGTGGGTACAAGGCATCAATCATGTAAAAGAGGTACAAGCCGGTAGTGAATTCCGAGTCGGTCGGTCTTAAAATCGCCTAAATTTACTCTTTTTCATATTCAAAAGATTTCGTATCTCAAAAAGTAGTGCAAAACTGAATCACTTTTCTTGTTAAAATATGATAAAATAAACGTAAGAAAAAGGGAAATGAAATAATAATGATATATAAAAATATGAAGAATTTATTGATAACCTAACTAACAACTAAAAGATGAAAACACGACACCAACTTCTACCTGCATACTCAAGTTTCGTCTTTAAATGTTGCAGCTGTCTCCTTACATTTCACATCTTCCTTGTTTCTCTCTCTTTCTCTTCCCTCGAACTTAAATTCACATTTTAATACTAATCTTTCTTCATTATATATTCTCCTCTCTTCTCAGATCTTCCCTCTCACCATCTTCTCTTGAGATCAAGATTGAGTATTCTTGTCTCAAGAATCGATATTCGAGAGCTCTTATGGACCAAAATGGTCATAAAGACGAAGCGGAAACAGTTTCATGCGGCAACGGCAACGGCAACTGCAAGAGCAAGATCGTGCCTGGAGATGATCATGGTGGAGATGAGAGCAGTGGTAGCAAGAGAAGGAAGAAGAGAAAATCTCAACAAAAGACAATGAAACGACGAGAATTAATGTCGTATTGTGAGCTACCGGACTACATGAAAGATAACGAATACATATTGAATTATTACAGAGCTGATTGGTCCATTAGAGATGCTTTCTTCAGCGTCTTTAGTTTCCACAATGAGTCCCTCAACGTTTGGACGTAAGTGCACAAAATTTAATTTACTTTTAGTTTCAATTCCTTTTCTTTGGTTTTTTTTGTTTGATTTCTAATAGTTTTCTTTTGATTTTGATTTGGACAGACATTTAATTGGTTTTATCTTGTTTGTGGCACTAACCGTCGCCAACATTATTCATCACGATGGATTCTTCCCCGTGGTTAGTGTTCTTTAATCACCATGTCTACTTTTTTTTTTAATAATCGCATGTGTAGACCGAATTTCAATTTAATCCATCGAGATCCAGATGCAACCACTATATTAACTTCAAATTAGTCAACTGAATGTGTCAAGTATAAATAGATACCTAATTGGTACTGATAACTACATATCTTATAGTTTTCTATTGAATTAATATTGTTCGTTGCTATACCTTCGTTTTGTTATGATGATTTTGAATATAAAATCGTATATTAGAGATCAATTGAGATATCAAATATAGACATGATCGAAAAGGTAAATTCTATAACATCTTTGAATATAATACATAGACTAATTTCTTAGTTTTCTATAGATATCTAGTTATTGTTCTTAGTATTCTAAACAACTTAATAAAATGTAGTTCTTTCTAGGATTATAATAAAATCAACTCAAATATATTATTTTATCACATATATACTTCTCACTATTAGAAACCAACTCAAATATATCTCTAGCAAAAAACTCCCTAGCGGTTTGCGGTTAACTTTGTCAGAGTTCTAATTAAAGTGTTTGTTCCCCAAAAAAGAAAAAAAAAAAAAAAAAAAAAGAAACCAACTCAAATATATTTAGCTGAATTGTTGAGGAATATTGACTGAATCTGTGGAATTTTTATTATGTTACATCAGTTGAGCAATTGACTAAAATGGTGGAAGTGGAGGAATTTTTTAATAAGTTTTGATTGTTTAATAGTATTTATTGATTAATAACTACGTACGTACAATACTATACACATATTTCTATCCTTTAAAATAACTAAAAATATTAGTGGTATTGAAAAAACCAAAAAAGATGATTTACTCATAAATAATTATATTTCCAGTTCTGATTACTAAAAACAAGATGTAATAGTTTGTTAATAAAAAATAAAAATATATATTAAAAGTAAACACTATAATAATTTATCAAAATAATAAGATTATTCAATATATTATGTATATATATATATATATATATGTATATTTTGCAGATTGAATTATTTAATTTGTATATTTGATAAATATTTTTGAAACAACTATATTTAATTAAGATTTTCATAAATTTATTTATTTAATTAAAAAAGAAAAAAAAAATCAGCCAAATTCAGCTGTTACCATTTGACTTCTACATTATTCAGTCAGATTCCGCAAAAAATTCAGCTGAATTGATTTAACCGAATTCAGCGGTTACCATTTACACCCATTATCTGACCATATATCTTGTACATGTTTCTTAGTATCTCAAACTAGTCAATGAAAATGTAAGCTAATGGTGGTATCAATGTTGATGATTGTAGGATGCAAAGAGTCCAGGGAATGTAACAAGATGGCCATTCTTCGTTTTCTTAGGAGGCTCAATGTTCTGCCTACTGGCAAGTAGCATTTGCCACCTCTTCTGTTGCCATTCCAAAGACCTTAATGTCTTCCTTCTCCGCATAGACTATGCCGGTATCACCGCCATGATCATCACATCCTTCTTTCCACCAATCTTCTACATCTTCCAATGCACTCCTCGTTGGTACTTCATCTACCTCGCAGGCATCACTTCCATGGGAATCTTCACAATCATCACACTTTTCACCCCATCACTTTCCGCTCCCAAGTACCGAGCTTTCCGCGCATTGCTCTTCGCCTCCATGGGGCTCTTTGGGATTGTCCCAGCTGTCCACGCGCTAGTGGTCAACTGGGGAAACCCGCAAAGGAACGTGACGCTCGTGTACGAGTTGCTTATGGCAGTGTTCTATCTTGTTGGAACAGGATTTTATGTAGGGAGAGTGCCCGAAAGGCTTAAACCGGGATGGTTTGATCGTGTGGGACATAGTCATCAGATCTTCCATGTGTTCGTTTTGTTGGGTGCTTTGTCTCACTATGCAGCTGCTCTCTTGTTCTTGGACTGGCGTGACCACGTTGGTTGTTAAACCATATTTGTAATTCTTTTAAATATTATTAATTTGTTTATCGTGGTAAAAAAAACTGTAATAACCCATTTGTTTTAAATTGAATTGTAATTCAACTTGTGTTGTTTGTTGAATATGAGAAGTTAATGGTAAATCAAATATTTGCCACAGAATAGTTTCTTTTTTTGTGTATGACTTCTTGCTTTATATCGTGGAAGCAAACAGAATTGAAAAGAACATCAGACTTGTTTGATATGTAAACACAAAAGCAAAAATTGATGGTTGGAAAAACCACTGATTTGTTTTATGTAAAAAAAAAAATCAATGATGCAAAGGATGGTCTTTCATGGTTCTTTCATCTATCTTTATGCGTGTTTAATTAGTGCCAGGATTCACTAGTCATAAGAGAATTAATATGTATATGCCGTGAGACTTCGTGTGTATATATATTTTCATATCTTAGCGTTTTTAATTTCCTTTTGATGTATGAAACTTTTTTTTGTGGTTAATGAGTAAAACAAAGAATCGAACACACATTACCGTAGCATTTAAGGTTGATGTGTGAATCTTAGCGTACGTGAAACAGCTCTTCTTATTGACCCAATTTGATGTTATTGTTAAATTATATTCTCAACAGTGACAAATTTACCAAACATGTCAGCTAAAGCTTAAATTTTATATGTCGGTTATGCTTCACCAACCCAAATTTGAATTGCCTGCCTCAGACCGGTTATAGCAGTATGGGGAGAACCGGTTTGATAAGGATACATAAGTTTTTCGTTTTTCTTCTACCAACCTAAAATTAAGCATGCCATGATAGCTAGCTAGTAATGATCGACGGTGCCAAACCCCGAACGATATGAAGATTTACTTCTGATTCGGTAAGCACTTTACAAAGCAATAAATACAAAATTAATTTTATTTGCTTCTCAATTACTCTATTAGTCTTCGGTTTCCTTCCCTAATATTTATTTGTGTCCATTTATGCTTTAATTTTTTACCTTTCTAGTAGTTTTAATTTTAGGGTCAACTTTGTATAAATGGACAAAAACTATTGTCTTCCTCTAATACATAAGTATATGCCCCAAATGTGTCACTGCCCAAGAAACTAGAAAAAAAAATATATGAAAAAATCAAATTTTGCTAATATGAAATTCTCTCTGGCTCCAACTCTTCTTCTTCTTCTTGTTCTTCTCCTCTTTTATCAACATCACTCTTCTCCAAACCTAAACTCAGACGCTCTCTCTTCTTTCGTAGACGCTAAATCTCTTGCCCCATCTCCTTCACCGTCCATGTCCATGGAGTTTAGTATCGCCTCATCAAACCTTTCACTAATTTCGAGTCCTCATGAAAATGTATGTTCTTAACTAATCTACGTGATCTTATTCAATTATATTAGGCTATGGATTTGTTTTGAATATATATAGTTTGTTGTGATAAGAAAGAAAAGAAGAGAAACAGAATCGAGGAAGGTTTAGCAAAATCGAGAGCTGCCATACGTGAAGCCGTGAGGCTGAAGAAGTTTGCATCGGACAAGGAGGAAACTTCTGTTCCTCGTGGAGCTGTTTACAGAAACGCTTTTGCATTTCATCAGTAAGTTTCTGTTTCCGTTTTTTCTCCGTTTCTCCTTTTTTTTTGCCTTTCAAATTTTCATTAAAAGTTACTTTCCATACTAGGAAATAAATGTAATACTAAGATTTTATTGGAAAAAAAAACTAATTAATATGAAAATTATTAAGGATACAACTAAATCACCCATTGACTGAAAAAAGACTCCGAGTGTGGAGGTTTTGGACGAAAAGAGCCAACTTTGTGCTGCTACATCTTGTGCTAAAGATATGACAACTTCATAATTAAATATATTAAAAAATACAGTACGTACTATAAAATAGATTTTCTTGAATTATTTACTAGTTTGTTTTGGGAAACGAAGCGATTGGGTGTAATTCTAATTCTTCCTCGTTCCTTAGTTCACTGCGTCTCGTTAAACTCGAGATTGAACTATTTTAGTAGCCGTACGTATTCATACTACTCTTTTTTGTTTTTTTTTTAAACTTCAATAATACATTGTTTTTCTTATATATATATATATTTTTTTTGATAAAATTGTTTTTCTTATATTACACACAAACAAACGTGTGCATAGTAAAATACCAGAATAAAAATTTCTCCCAAATCTGTATGCAAATTGTACCTCTATAAAGAACTGCGTAAACTTTATAATATTCTCTAAAAATATGTAAAATTTATTTAATTGGGATTATAGTCAACGTGTCTATGAAATACTATGCACAATGGTATGCGGGTGTAGAGAGAAACGTAGCGCCTACTTAAAGCCTGCTTTGGTATTTGTAGTCACAACTCTCTCTTCTCTTCGAGTAAGATATTTACCTATACTACTTTTTATTGACTTCTAAATAGTTGTAAACGTCGAATTGCTAGTCCCAATTATTTTATTAAAAGAGAATTAGATAAATTTAATTACTCTTAATACATACTCCGTATTCAAAGATTGTCTTGAGATTATTTCCAAAAAGTCACATACACTTATCGTAAAAATCCAATAATGCCATACCTTGGGGTTTTATATTTGCAAAGTACAGTACTCACTTTACAAATTTCTTGGCAGAAATATCTAAAATGTAAGATTATATTCTAAAATGATACGTACTAGTGATTATCACTTAAATAGTTATCAAAACTTGTCTATCACAAACTTATAATAACGTAGGAACTAGTGTTCTTCATTCTGTTATGAGTTATGATCATTGATCAAATACTAATCCAAAGAAGGTACTGTTTACTTAAGAAGAAGATTTATTTATTTTCAAAGAACAGTTTTAACACAAGCCAACAACACTTTTTCTTATGAAATTGAATAGAAGCCATATGGAGATGGAGAAGAAATTCAAAGTGTGGGTGTACAGAGAAGGAGACACACCGTTAGTTCACATGGGTCCAGTGAACAACATATACAGCATTGAAGGCCAATTCATGGACGAGATCGAGACAGGGATGAGCCCATTCGCTGCTAGCGGCCCCGAGGAGGCTCATGCCTTTCTCCTCCCTGTCAGCATCGCCAACGTCGTTCATTACTTATACAGGCCGCTCGTGACCTACTCGAGGGAACAACTTCACAAAGTTTTTCTTGACTACGTCAATGTTGTGGCTCACAAATATCCTTATTGGAACCGAAGCCTTGGAGCCGACCATTTCTTTGTTTCTTGCCATGATTGGGTTTGTGTTCTTTCTGGAACCAGACTTATTTTTGTGATGTTGATACTGAAATGTAACATTTTAAGACTCTTGCAGGCACCAGACGTCTCAGGATCTAACCCGGAGATGATGAAAAACCTGATAAGAGTTCTCTGCAACGCCAACACATCGGAAGGTTTCATGCCCCAACGAGATGTCTCAATCCCGGAGATCAACATCCCCAGAGGCCAACTGGGACCACCTCAATTATCCCGCTCTTCTGGCCATGACCGACCCATCCTTGCTTTCTTCTCAGGGGGCTCACACGGTTATATCCGCAAAATTCTACTGCAGCACTGGAAAGACAAAGATGAGGAGGTCCAAGTCCACGAGTACTTAACCAACAACAAAGACTACTTCAAGCTCATGGCTACGGCAAGGTTCTGTCTCTGTCCCAGTGGCTATGAAGTGGCTAGCCCTCGAGTCGTTGCAGCCATTAACCTAGGTTGCGTCCCTGTCATCATCTCTGATCACTACGCCTTGCCCTTCTCAGACGTTCTTGATTGGACTAAGTTCACCATTCATGTTCCCTCTGAAAAGATCCCTGAGATCAAAACTATACTAAAGAGCATATCCTGGAGACGCTACAAGGTGTTGCAGAGAAGGGTTTTGCAGGTCCAGAGACATTTTGTGATCAACAGACCGTCGCAACCGTTTGATATGCTTCGAATGCTTCTTCACTCTGTTTGGTTGAGAAGACTAAACCTGAGGTTGCCTTTGTGATCCTATATACTCTGTTTTTTGGGGAATGAATATTGGTTGGTATAGAACAAGAGGTGAACAGTAGTATAACATTGAAAGTAGCTACAATGGTAACCAAAGGTTTACATGTAATAAAGACTATTTATAACTGTTTTTGTTCAATGAATTGTATGAATCACTCTTCATAACTCAACTTCGATCAGATGTAATCGTTTGGTCTCTACAGGCATTTTGTCCAACTCAAAGGTGACCAATCCAGAGGAGGAATCGTACTCGAATGCAATCTCATTTGACTCAACGACGCACCTCTTAGGCTTCACAGAAGAGTAAGATCCGAATTTGCCACACCCTTTAACTTCCATTACCACTTTCATCTTCTCGGCTTCATATTTAAGTCCTTCGATAGCTCCTCCCGAATTGTACATGTTTACAAGACCGAGCGGAGCAAATGAGATACCATCAGTAGCCAGATGCTTAATGGGACTCACGGTGAAGATCTCGTGCTCACGGATTTTGAGTGAGATTGGAAGAGACACATTGTATGGCATAATGATAAGTTCGCCTCTGCTCTGGGAGTAAACAGCACAGTCTCCATTCCAGGTCCGTGGATCAGTAGAGGCCTCGGATATTAAATGCACATCACGACCACAAATGGAGCCAGTGAGGCTATCAGTTTTTGTCTGGTGGAAGATGTTTTTTCTTTCTGTGCTGCTCCAAGCTGCTCCTTGGCAGTTATACACGCCAAGAACTCCAGTGTACTTGTTCATGTTCCATATCTTTAGCAAGCTGAAACCAAAACAAAACACATTAACAAAATGAGAAACCAAAAAATTTGAAGACATATTTTTATAAGCCAAATTTGCTTACCTGACACCATCACGGGCAGGATCTGCGAACAAACAATCGCGAGTTGGTCTACCAGGCAATCGAGCACGAAGAATGGATCCATCAGGCAAAACAAGCTTTCTTAGAAGCTCAAAGTTGTGCTTTCCAGGAGCATCACTATATATCAAGAATAGAAACAACATGTAACAATATAAATCTGCAGTCAATAGACAAGTTCAAGTGGAGATATAGTAGTTGAATGATCATACCTAACATAGAGAGGCCCACCACTGATGGCCCTCGCAGAGGCATGGTACTCTGCCGCAGGGTGCAAGGAATGGAACATGTCCCAATCAGGCTGCATAAACTCTCCCAAGAACACACTGTTGTATGCAACCGAAGCTATATGGATGGTGTGAGACACGGGATCGCGTGGGTAGAAATCATCTGATGCTCTAATCACAGCTGCTTGCTTCGAGCAGTAGAGAGCATCTGTATTGTGGCTCATACAAGCAATGCAGCCATTGTCAGGGAAGTTCTTTGCAACAGAGGAGTCAAGAGCTTGATGAAACTGACGAGTTAACTCAACCCGACCGCCTAAACCACCACCCAAAGTCTCCAATATACACTGCACATCCACTTTCACACCGTCCACACCAGCATCAGCCAAGTAACTATGAAGCTCATTGTAGAACTTATACACTTTCTTGGGGCTAACCAAACCCAACCCTTGCAGCGCCATTATATCCGTCTTCCACGTTGGATCATTCTCCACCACACCCTTTGACATATTAGGATACTTCATCACAGATCCGTATTCTCCCCCGGGTCTAACTCCGCCCCAATAACCCGTTATCGCGTGCCACACGTAAACGTATTTCAAACCGTGTTTCTCCTTAGCAATCTTGACAATGTTCTTAATCCCAACGTTTGGATCATCCTTGTTCTTAAACTTTTCATTCTCCTTAATCCCCGTCAATCGAGAAACCGCCTGCTCTTTCTTCTCATCTCCGGTCTCCACCGTGTCATCCCTCTCAACGGATTGCCAACCGTCGTCGATAATGACAAACTTCGGCGGCGTACCACCGGCGGAGAGAGACTCAAGACCAGCTTCGACACCTTCTTGGGTCACTTCTTGATAAAACGCGTCCCAAGTGCACCACCCGAAGTAGTCAACGATCCCTGGAAGTTTCTTTTCGTGACGTTGACGGAAACTATTCAGATGCAACTTAACGGTACGAATAGCGTCCGTTATCGTCTGAAACGGATCTGTACCGGCGTGAATATAAAGAGAGTGAGTAAACGACGACCGTTTAGTGTCGACGTCACCACTCTCCAAACAGAGCTCAACCTCATCGTTAACGTTTCCTTGGAGACACGAACGGAAAGATCCTTCGATTAACGGCAAGAAGACGGTGTAAACTTTCTGGTTAGATCCGTCAGGTTCAAGGTGGGACCCATCGTTGCTCTCGACCAATAAGAACTGCGTCTCGTAGGGAATATCCCGGCCCATCTCGCCCATTTTCTGGGCCATCCACCAGAGCTTAAACCGAAAACAAGACATAAACCGGGAATTACGAAGCGTACCGATCGATACTATGTGTTTACTGTCTTCCTTGTCGAATACAGCTCCGACGAAGACTCCTTCGACCGGTCCAGCCTCCGATGCAGACGTCGTGATGACATTATCTGATAAACCGGTTAAAATCGTCCGGTTCTTGATGATTAGATTCCCATCCGAAATTCGAACCGCCGGTTTAATCGTCATATCTTCTTCTTCGTTTTCTCTGTACCTCCTCTTGAACGGCGAGGCTGCTTCGCGTCTCTGTAAAAAAAAATCCCAAATTTAAGAGCTTTATAAAAGACCCAGAGTTCTGAGATGACGTCAGATTCTGGGTTTTAAACAATCTCTACCAAATTGTAATCGAATATAAATAGATCCAAAGAAACATTACCTTATATGAACAAAACTGAAATCCTCGAGAAGACGAACAATGCCTGCGAATTCCAAGATATGGAGAAAAAAACAAAAAACGTTGTTAGACGCAAAACCAGGGATTAGAGAATGAGTCAATGAAGAGAGATGGTGATAATTAAGATGCGATACCAGAAGACGAAGAAGATGAGCGAATACGAAGCTGTTGTTGTGATGGGAGAATGCGAGCTTGAGGTTTGGATATGAATGGAAGAGAAGATGAGGAGAATCGATGAAATGTGAAAGAGTGAATCAGAGGATGAACCCTTTTTATACGATGGATTCCATTGTAGCAACTGTGTGACGCCATTTTTATTATTCTCTCTCTCTCTCTCTCTCTCTGGCTTTCCTCGTTTGGTGAGTTTTTTACAAGTTTGCAGGAGTCTTTAACTCTTTTATCCAATTCCAAGGTGTTTCTAAATTCAGTTGATATTAAATTATTAATTAATATTTTCTTTTTTTTTGTTTTTTCTTATAAACGTTCAATAATTTTTTGGTTGTTGAATTGTGGATCTCTAGTAATAATTTCTTTTTTAATTACTTTGGTTGTTAAGTTACACGTCTTCCGTTTCTTGTGATTGCTTCTTTCGTATTGTGCAAGACTGCAAGTAATCTCTTAGACATTAATTGATTTATTTTGCTTTGGTTTTATGTGTATATATATAATTATGCGAAAATGTTGAGGTGGTTATCGAATTTTCGCGTCAAATATTCGCATATGGTCAAAACGAATTCCAGAAACCCAATTTTTTATTTTTTGTGAGATAAAATTACAGTTGACCGTTGAAAAGTTTTAAAGGGAGGATGAGGTTGCCACGTCGGATAAATGCTGTAACACATTAGGATATTTAAAAGATATTTTGTTTTTTAAGGATTAAAAGATTTTTTCCACGACCGTATTACGTGTCAGCGGAGACCTTATCACGAGATTAAATTGTTTTCGTCAACATGAATCTCAAAATAGAAGTTTCCTTGCAACTTGTAAGCAAAAATGACTGTTTCTATTTTTAATGGATTTAAATTGTTTTCTTGGTCCAATAATACTTTCCTGTTGCATGATTTTTCTTCTCAACTTTTAATATTTCCTCTTCTCATTGTAATAAATGGGATTGGCATCTATAAATGTATATGGTTTAATTTATCTATGTCAATGTCCTCCTAAGTATTGGTTTAATGTTCTGCTGCAACTTTTTACCTAATGTATTTTTTTTTTCTATGACAATTTTCAAAATTGTTACAAGAACATGAAAAAAGAAGATTTCTCTAATCAAGTAAGATATTAAAAATAAAATTTGAATAGAAATTGTTTTATTGTATATTTTAACGGAATGAAACAGATCACAAATGAAGTAGAGAGACTGACATTTTGTGAAAATTGTAAAATCAAATGGGTGCAATCGACAGAAAGTTGATAGACTCACCAAGTGGCTAAATTATCTTCGCAGATCAACTTGCTTCTACAGATATTGAGCAATGTGCGGCTGCATGGCCCACAACTCCCCATAATTTTTTAGAAAAAAAATCTCATTTTATTAAAATAAATCTTAAAAAGAGAGAGAGTAGTGTACTACACGAAAACGAATAATTTGATGTTTCTTTTTCTTTAATTTTCTGTTGTTTCTTTGTTTTCATTGTTATACTAATAATAACAGAAAACGAAATATTCGGCGATGAATGATTCGCTTGCAGCTAGTGATTTGGTTCAGAAAGACGAAAGTGATTGGGAAAGCAAATCAACTTGTGTTTTTTTTTTTTTTTTTGAGAGAACAAAAAAGTTAGAAAGTTGTCCAATTGGACCCAGTGGGTTTATCCATCCAATATACATTAGTTGGCGGATAAGGGTTTGTCCGATATTATTTAATGTATATCATCATACATTATTTTTTATTTTTGTTAAAACTGTATTTTATAAAATGATTCATCATCAATCAGTCGTCGTTGGAGGTTAAGAGGTAGTCTACAATATAAATTTGTCAATCCTCCACACGTCTCATGCCTTTGTATGTCAAAAATAGCAACAATGTTTTGACGGTGAATTTTCTATGCAACCATCAACTTATTGATAAATTTATGCATGGGGTTTCCCTCAAGCAAGTTTTTGTTTTTATTCAAGCAAGATTAAGTTGCAGAATAATGGATGAAGAGAAATGATTAGAAGTTGTCTCTGTACATGGTGCTAGGTTCGAATCCTAGCCGATGGAGTTTCTCTTTATTTTAATTTTTAACTAAAAGGATTTATGGGTCAACAATGGATGATGGCCCATATATCGTTTAATATTAGTCAGACAGAACCCAATAACCTACATAAACATTAAACACCATTCTCTTTAGCCTTGAAAGACGAGCGGTCCAGGCCGATTTTTGCATTTTTTAGATTTTAGTTTGTTTTTTACATTGTGAATACAAGCATTTGAAGGGGAAAGATATAAAGTGCAATCACAATTTTTAGGACCATAACGTCTATGTATCAATGAAGACATCAATAACATTCTTACCTTTACCTTTTTATTTTACTCCAAAGTATTTAGAGAACAATTATAACTTATTAAAACTAAAAAAGTTTCTTAAAATTCACATATAGCTTAACACAGAATAATTAGTTTCATTTCACACACATGCAAATAGTTCCAAACGTTTAAACACACAACACAACCAATACATAGGTCAAAAGCAAACAAACAACACACATATAGCTTAAGTAAAAGTCGGATAGAGAGTATACATGTAGCTCGAGATTAAGACATGCAGATTCATAAGACAAACTAAATACCACGATATAGATAGGAGTTGAGGATGAGATTCTAGATCTCCATGATCAATCGATGACCAAAGACATGATCTTTTCCTGAAGATTTGGCTGAATCGGCTGCACTCTATATCCAAATTGCCCATCATGATCTCTCATCATCATTCCTCTTGCGTTGCTTGCTATAGCCATATCCTGTTGTTGCTGCATATTCCAAACCATATATCCATATATCTCAAAACACAAACATACTAATAGTTTCAAACCAAATCATAAGCAAAAGGCTTGTATTGATGTATATTTATAAATGTATGAAGATTATTAATAATTTAATATATATATACCAGCTGGAAAGTGAGTTGCCGATGCTCCTCCATAATCATCTTGTCCTGTTAAAACAAAAATGATGCAACCATTAATAAATATTTCAATCCGAAAGCTAGTAGTAGAGTACTATAAGATTAGTTATATGCTCACATTTCTCCTCTTTGAGTTGAGCAACTCCATCTGTATCAAGCAGACCAAATTAAATAAGAAGTTAAATGTATGAATGTATTTGTATATACATATGTATGAATGTATGTAGAAATGTATACATACCTGGTGGTCTCGGACTTTGTCGAGGCCGTGTTCAATGGCGTGCTCGACAGCCATCAGGTTTTTCAAGTTGAGAGACTGTATATCTTCCCCCTTCAAGTGCCTGTATTCACAATTCCCATGAATTTCTAAATTTATGCTGATTTTTTAACATTATTTTAATCAAATGTTTTATATATATACATGTGGAAAGATATGGCAATGAAGGGTGAAGAATGATGACCTGAGCTCCAGTTGTAAGCTATCATTTTCTTTCTTGATTCTATCAATCTCATTGCTGAGGTTCTGGAAACCAATATTTTTCAGCATATGTATTAGATGAGCTATAATGGTTTAATTTTAAGAATTTAGATCAAACAAAAAAACTACTTATTCAATACAAACTAAACATAAATATATACAAAGAAACAATCCATGACAAGTCTCTGTATGTTCATGTTTCATTCAGAACATATTACACATACACACATATCTATATATCTTGATGATATTCATATATGTAAAAGTATACACATATATACATGCACAAATACTACTAGGCAGTGACTTAAATGGTATAAAAGCCTCTGTATGCTTATTACTCTATAAAGATATATCTCAATTGTGAGAATTAAACCTATAATTGTCAGAGCTAATTAATAATACATACAAATTACAATATTTGCATTCAAATTTAATTTAAAAACGATACTCAAAAGTATTTTTCAAGTTTTCAATTAGTTTTGAAAGCCACAAATGTAAAATCAGTATACTGTTCAGACATTCTCATTAATTAATATCACATCCCAGATTTTTCTCTCAATAATCCCATAACCTATGGATCTAAATCTCTTGAGATTTTGTCTTGATGGTTTCAAAAACACAGTTGGTGAATACATGTTTAGATTTACTCTAGAACATATAGAAGATCTTACAAATGAAGCACGAACAAAAGAAAAGAATAACTTCCATGTTTTGTGGCTCCATGTCTTGTTGAGTACAAGAAAATCAATAAAGACGCTTGTAAGGCTACATACACAAAGAAACCTTTTGTAGATCTGCATCTAGGGTTCGAGGTTTTTCTCTTTGACATGTTTTAGGAAAAGAAAATTAAATTACCCATTTCACGATATATCTAGCTAAGAATATTTGTTTTTGAGACAAAACACTATAGTAGATCTGCATCTAGGGTTAAAGATTCAAGGGTCTGTTGACATGTTTTTGGCAAAGAAATTGAATACTTATTTCATGATTTTGGCCATGGAATATTTTTGAGACAAAGAAACTTTAGATTATATAAAAAAAAAGAGGGAGAAAACGAGAGAGTACCTCATGCTTAGCATCCCATAGTTTCTTGCCAGATAACTTCTGGTATTGGTCCAACATAGCACCAAGATCCATGGAAGGACAACAATAATCAACCATCTTACCATTACTTGCAAAGATTATGAGAGCAACTTTTGCATCACAAAGAACTGTGATCTCTTTAGCCTTCTTCACCAACCCATTCCTCCTTTTCGAGAACGTCACCACTCTGTTGTTTGCGTTCTCTATCCTCTTTATCTCGATCTTCCCTCTACCCATCTTTCTCTCTCTATCTCTTTCTCAAATCTAGGGTTTGCTATGAAATCGTTAAGATGTGGAGGAGAGGATATGTGGTTTATATGAAGAACATGAAGAGGAGCATTGGTTTTAAAGCAACATTGATGAGAGAGAGAGAGAAAAATGTTTGGGATTAATCTTGAGGTGAAGAGAGACTTTGACAGTTTGGGATTGAAAACAAAGCTACTTTCTTGATGGCACAGTCATGGAAGGCTTGCTTTTGCTTCTCTTATTACACATATATAGTCATAGCCAACTCTATTTTCTCCCCTTTTTTTTAACACTACCAAAAAGATAAAAACTTGAAGTATAACGTAATAAAATAAAGTTAAAACAAACTTAGTTATTTTGCTTAATGAACACTCTTTGCATGTGATTGATGTTTGTTTGCTTTCATTTGATTTGATCATTTCAGTCTCTCTCTTGATAGGTTAAAGTGTCGTTTAATTAACCTCTGGTCTCTTCCGTACTATGTTTTCTTCAATGAACTGTAGATTGAGACTACTTTGAAAAAGAAAAAAATGTATCTAGAAAGATCAAATTTTCATATGAAATGTGATCAAACTTTATCTTACTCGTGTATGTTGTATAAATAGATTTGAGATTTAAGAGTTCTAACACGATAACACCATAATTTTCTTATCCAATGACACCATCAATTAATTAGTTTGAGACACTATCTTATTTTTTTTTTTTTTTTTTTTTTTATTTTTTTTTATTTTTTTTTTTTTTATTTTTTTTTTTTTACACTATCTTATTATATTACGTTAATTTCTAGACTTTAACAATTATCAACGATTGGTTACAGTACATTGTGACATTTGATAATAATTTTGTAAATAATAAAAATAAATTGTGAGTAAAAACAAAAGATGGAAACAATACACTTTGAATTTTTTGGAGTTTCAGAAAACAAAATATAAAATAAAGATTTTCATTTGTAGACAAATATTTCCCATTTTATCTATCTAGAAAATTAACCCTAAAACCAAATGAAAACCTCGAGTTTTACAACTTTGTAGATTTAAAACCAAATATCTCTCTAAATTTTATAACCATTTTATTCTTTTACAGGTTCTTACTTTGGTAAAGCCAAGACTTGCTATTTCAAGAACTCTATGTCATATATAGGTCTTATCGAATATCGTAGCTACACTATAAAAATCAAACATATTAAATTATTGAAAGTTCAAGATATCACATTGACAAAAGAAGTAAATGAAATAAAGTTAAATCCAGATTGTTAAGAAAGAAAAGAGGAGCAGTGTAGTTACCAAAGACTTTCGTATAACCATTGGATCATGCTTATACTATTATGGGGAAAATGTCATTGGTTGTTGAAAACAAAAACAAGTTTATGGTTTTCTTGATTCACGTCAATCATACACGTGTCAAATTATTGTGGACGTTTGTGGTCTCATGTTGTACTTAGTACGGACATATTTTTTGGCCTTTTCTCGAATATTAACTATAAAGCCATATATTAAAAATCTCAACAAATAAATTGTGAATTCAGGTGATAAACTGGATCAAGAAGATGAAAGTTGTCCACGAAATATGGTAATATATAGTAGTAATCTGAATGATGTTGAATACCACTATTTCTTTTGCAACCGAATACTCATATATCGAAACTCATACTAATCACAAGTATAAGACGTTTATAATGACTTGAAAACAAGTCCTTATTTTCACAAAGAGTCATATACATGACTATAGAAATAAGGAGAGTAAGGTAAAACAAACACATATTGATTAACTAAGTTTCGAGTGTGACTCAAAAGAGAGCAACAACAGCAGAAACAAAAGCGACCAGAAAAGTAGCACCACCTAATGAGGAAGCGGCATTTCCAGCTGGAGTAGTGGTTCCGTTAGAGCCTGAAGGTGTTGTGGTCCCGCCCGCAGTGGGGGGAGTGGTTCCTCCAGCACTTGGGGTTGACCCAGGTGCTGGGGTAGCACCACCACCAGCACCTGGAGTAGCACCTCCACTTGCACCAGCACCAACTACATTGATGGAGAGTTTTTGACCAAAACGGCAATGGTCACCGACGGTGCAGATAAAGTATTGTGGTCCAGTGGTGTTTAGCATAATTTTGACTGGAGGAACCGTCATATGGCTGATGGGTTTCTCTTTCTCGCAGTTTTCAAATGCATCTTGTGTTACAACTGCCACATCATGCCTCCCAGCAGCGAAATCAAATTCTGTAAGAAGAATATCGAAAAAGGTATAAATATCATTAGATAACGTTTGATTTCGCATGATATATATGTGATTTATATACATGTGAACTAAATACATCAGTCGGTGGAAACTCTATTAATCCTTTTTTTACGTCGAATATGTTCAACAAATATAGAAACAAAGACAGAACAACATCTACATGCATGATCCATGAACGATCCCATAATATCGACTACTGTTATAAAACAAAGACATAGAAAACTCACCGAGCTCGTCGCCTACACGGAAAGTTTTACCGGTAGCCCAAGTAGTATAGAACTCGGGGTCCATAGGTCTCGTCCATTCGGTATCATCACCAACATCATAGTCCTCCGCGAAGACAACAACTGCAGCGAAAACCAAAACCATAAAGGTAACCGTTTTGAAAACTCCGGCCATATTGTTATGTGTTGAAGCACTCAGGTCACCCCCTTTTCTTTTCTTGGTCGAGAACTATATATGTCGTCTCTTAAAAGATAGTAAATGACCCTTACGATTTATGTGTTTGTTGTGGTTTCAAAAGTCTTGCAAGAGAGACACATATTTATAGGACAATTAAAGAGAGGCTCTCAAGGGGTAATACGCAAGGTACGGAAAGACGCGTTACGTGTTGTGTCGTTGAACAAATCCACATTAGGATATTATCACTTGTGGTCAATTTTGTCTGCTAAGTTTTTTTTTGTCCATAATTGTTATTTTTAGCGCGTAAAAACATTGTCCATTCGTATATTTAGATCAAGTAAAGAAAAAACGTGACTAAATTTACTTTTTGGTTTTTGATTTTCGTGTTCAGACTAAATATAACTACCTAATTATAACCGACCGATATTAAGGCATCGAAGAATAGTAGGATACTAAATTATTACTAATGTTAGAAAGAAACAAAGTGTTAAAAGTCAGTGGATATGGATGAAATATTAGGTGTTTATAGCATTTATAGTGTTTGTTTATGGATAAGTCGATAATTGTTTAGAACTTTCTAGGCTCCATCGTCAACGAACTCAGGTCGTACTCAGTACTCAAAAAAAAACCAACCCAACAAATATACACACTTACTTACACGTAAACGAATGCGGTCATAAACTGAAACCAAAAGCGGTCAAACTCACTTCAGTTTTGTTTCGAGTTTGGATAGTTCACAAAAGACCAATCAGGGACTCAAGTGATTGGTCATTGGTCCGATTCTAAACCGAAATATCCATCCCCGAAATATCCATCCCCTAAAAAAGGGACCTGTCAATGACTGGATATTTCTGCTTCAAGAGCAAAACCAAGCCTAACCAAATAAACAGTGTCAAGAACCTTCTTGCTCTAGACAAGAATCACTGTCTGAAACTTGTTTACTTGGACAGGTTCTTACATTATGTCCCATTTTATTGCAGAACCGACAAGCATACCTTCTTCTACCAACACCATCTCCACTGGAATCCCCACCAGGGCCACTAGGTCTCACTCCGGTCGGCTTCAGGCATGTTCTGCTGTTGTGGCCGCTTTCACCGCATATTCCACATTGGTGATGCCTGGTGGAAATGCCTTTCGTGACCATTGATTTTGACTTAGGACAAGTTCTTCGGTTATGGCCTTTCCCGCCGCAACCCCGACATCTAAATCTTCTGTCCGCATTAGTGCCTAGTTCTGGACAGTAATGGCGTCTATGGCCTTCCTGTCCACAGTTCTTGCAGTAAAATTTAACCCCTGAACCAATGAGAGAAAACAAATGATTCTTTCACCATTTCATAGTTTGCACAACAACTGTCACCACAAAAGGAAATCAAATCGAAACCTACATTTCTACAGTCTGAAACAACATTATATCTCAACTTTAAGTGACAAGCCTCAACCTAATTCATCTCACTGATCTTACATTATTGGAGCTCCAGAAACAAAAGATTAATAAATTGAGCTAAACTCTGAATTTCTACCAAGAAACCGAGATTTACCTTTCATGGATAGGCTTCTCTGTTCACGGTTGTCAGGGTCACTGAAGAAAGCTTTCATAGATTCGGATGCATGCTTTCTAGCAGCTGGTGTTCCTTTAGCTTTCTAGAACACAATAACACTAAGCAGATTCAAGGAAAAAAACAAAAGTTGTTCCATGCTAATTTAGGATATAAAATAAAATGGAGTTGATTACAGACCTTAATTGCAGCTACCCTTTGAGCATGAAGCACAGGATCACGATGTATAATCTTCATTCGTTTACTAAAAAGTCCAGTTTTGGCATTGAGACTCTATAAAAACCATAATTTGGACTGACTATAACAATTTCCCATGGAGAGAGTACTAATATGAATGAAACTAAATTTTAAAATGAAACTAACTTTTAGAGATCGGCTGATCTTTTGTCCAACTTCAGGAGTCGGTGACTGGTAAATCCGCTTCGATTTCCTCCTTTTACTGAACTTAATCTCTAAATTATCAACCTCATCATCCTCCTTTACTCTAAATGGAGAACTGTGGCAGAAAAAAAATGAGGTTTATTAGTTAAACAATAAGCAGAATTGAGATGTCAATTCTTGAATAACAGTACCTGGATCTAGCTTTCTCCCAAGGTCGTTCATCGATTGATTCTTCCCAGATGACACAATCCCCCAAACATCTGAGACAAGTCATTATGCCCTACACAAATTTAAGCAAAGTTCTATAACAAGGAAAGACTTTTGTTACTCAAAAGTTTGAAGTCAATTTTGATACTTTTAATACCTTTCCTTTGCATTGAGGGCAGTCCAATCGCGACCTCTCGATTCCGCAATTTGAGCATGAAGTATAACCTCTTCCTCTACAAGTTGGACATGGAAGCTCTCGAATGTACTGACCGTTAGGACCAAACCATGACCTTGGTTCGCGCGAATCACCAGATATGATCCTGAATAAACCATCACCAAAAGCACATTTTGAAGCTCAGCCAAATTGTGGATACATGTATCTTACCAACTTGGCCAAGTAACTTTTTTTTTGGTCTAATGATTTCATTGATAATAATATACGATTTAGTTATACCAACGACTTAACGAGTAACTAACAGAATATGTATTTCTAATTTTTAGGATTTTCCTTTTATTTTTAGGAAATTATTAAGAGTTTTTCTTTCTTTTTCCTTTTTTTGGTGAAAGAGTTTCCACTTCTTTTTTTCCTATTCCTAGAGTGCTTTGCTTTTACGTTTTAGTATAAATAAGATAGGGTCTCTATATTATGAGACTCAAACAAGCTAGAGAGAGAGAGCTTTGGAGGTTTATACGTTTGAGTCTTGCAATAAAGAGAGCTTTTTTGGGGGTTTTGTATGATCGTGATTCTTAACTACCTGAAAATAAGAACCTAAGGAATGATTACCAGTAGGATTGAGTCACGTTTGGACGCGATAGAAAGGAACCAAGAGATCTTCCGTGAGGAATTGATTGGGTTTCATAAGAGACAGAAAAAGATCCAGAATGCTATTTTGGAGTTAACAGGGATGGTTTCGGCTTCACAATTGTCCCATCCTAAACAACAATCTGCAAGACTGCAACAGTCCTACAGGGGAACATAGAGATGCCAAGTTTTGATGGAGACGATCTCTTCAAGTGGCTAGAAATCGTTGAACAGTACTTTACTTTGCAACTCACTCCAGAGTTTCGGAAGGTAGACATTGCATTCATGAGTATGGAAGGTGATGCGCTACACTGGTTACAATGTCTACGACGAGAGAACCCGACTTTAACATGGTCTCAACTAAAAACTGAGCTTATAGAAGAATTTGGAGGAGGAGATACTACAGCCTCTCCTGGTGAACAATTGGCATCACTTCGACAAACAGGATCCGTAGACGAGTACGCGAATGAATTCCGTGCTCGGGCGGCTCAAATCGATAAGGACCAACTACTACAAGGCATGTTTCTTAATGGACTTAAAGAAGAAATCCGTGTGAAGTTTCGGCCAAACGATGCTGAAGGACCGGAAATTGCTATACGCACCGCAAAAGCAATCGAGAGAGAGTTGAATTTTAACAACCAAGCAAAGGGTAGACGCGAATATTCGCACCAAGAATCTCTCGACATGAAAACCGAAGGCCTCTGTTGTCGCTGCCTTCACCGTACTCCCTTTTAGATGACTTCTGAGGATAAGGCAATCATCGATGGAGAGAAACGTGCTATGTAAGAAGACCACTGGAGTCCAGCCTTGAGGACAAGACTTTAGTTTTTAGGAGACTTGAGAATGTTATGTAATTCTTACTTAATTTAGGATTTCTATTTCTTGAATTTTTATGAAATTGTTCAGGACTTCCACTTGTCTATTTTCAAGATTCATTATGTATTCATGTTTGGCTTTTACGTTTTAGGAAAAACAAGGATTGGTGTCTCATTTAAGAGACTCATCCAGGCTAGAGAGAGCTTTGGAGGTTTATTGATTGATCTTGATCCCTCGGAATCAAATTGGTTTCACTTTGAATGCTTTCACAGGATCTTAGCTCAAAGCAGACAAATGGGTTGCAGGCAGATGCCAAAATTATTATACTCTTGCTTTAAAAAGAATGAGAAAAATCGTGATTGTTTTCATTGAGAAGCCTCATAGTTCTTTTGAGTTTAGAGCTGTTTCATGAAATTGATCGTGAATTCACTATAAAGAGGTTTGGAAATGTCTGACCTGGGCTTGAAATCAACACCAAAGAGTTCCTCTGAGGGATCATAACCAATCTGTCGCTGTTTCAAAGCAGGGGCAAAAGTGAAATTCCATCAATGTGAGTACAGAGAGTGGATAATTGGTAAGAGATAGAGAAAGTAATACGATGTTTTGTCTGGAAGATGAAACTGAACCATCGTCCTTGTTGTCGGAAGAAGAAGAAATCGCGCGAGGAAAAAAGACGAATTTTGAGTTGGGATTGAGAAGAAACTGAAATCGGGTGTTCTTCTTTCTCAACCATTGTGGCTGCAAAACCTGAAACCTAGCAGGAATCGAGCACATGAGGAGTCAACAAACCCTGGAAACAATTACTATCAACGAAGATCAGATCAGGAACACCCACCACACACACACGAGTGTTCGTCTGTAAAAATAAGAGAAGCTTTAACTTACGCGGGGAGCCGGGGACTGTACAACGTGGCATATGTTTTACGCTCTAATTCGAACCAACCAACAACAACTGTGCTAAATTCTTCCAACATGGAGGATACGAGAGTAATTTACCAAAACTTAAAAAAGTTCGTATTATTATAAGGGAATCAAATGACATTTTCGACAACAACGAAATCTATAAAAAAAATCTCGATTAACTTTTTATTTTTATAAAAAACAGACTCAAAAAAGAAATCAATCATCTCAAATGAATAGAGAAATCAAAACCAATGATCTAGGCACAAAATTCCACTCCCAAAGTAAAAAAGTAAAACAATTCGAGACAACAAAAAAAATTATATTGGAAAACATGCAAGAGACAGAGACCGTTGTCCTTGTCTTTAACAGCAAACACCATCACTTCCTGCTGAGCTGAACGATATTCTCTCCGGATTTTCTGACCCAAATGTGTATTTGATATTTAACCTCGCATCATCATCCTCATTGACCACCTCTTCGCTCATTGAGGGAAACGCAAACACCAGGGGTGACTTATCTCCTCCTCTGTTGCCGTCGAAACTAAATTGAGGAATCTCGTCATCTTTTCTAGCTTCGTGATGATTTGTAATGGCAACACCACCACCACTTGCTGCTGGGCTTGCTGTGAAGGGCATGATGGATGGAGTTGTGGGCTCTGATGATGTTGCTCCATCAGATGACGAGACCGGGAATGTGAAGCCAGCGTTTGAGCCTGAAGGGACTGCCCATTTTTGGAAGGGCTTGGCTACTGAGATCGATGGAAGTACCGGTTTGTTATTTCCCAGTGAGTGAGATGGTGGTTTGGAGAGATTTGCAGTTTCGCCTCCAAAAGAATAGGGAACAGCTTTTGCAGAGTCCCGAGAAGAAGTAACCACCTGCAATTCAATTTTCCACAAGATCAAAATTCAAACGGTCAACAAATATATATATATATATATATATATATATATATATATATATATATATATATATCCACAAATGTTACCAACTGTTAGAAGTTTCTCCAGTTTCCGGAGAGATCTAGGTTGTTCTAAAGTCACAAAAGAATCAAAAACTCATTAAACTTGTTTACTTCCTATGTTACAGGGTATATTAAGGTTCCCCGCACTCAAAGCCAAAACATGATGCAAGATGCATTAAGAAAAAAACGACAAAGTGCTCAAAATACCTCATCATGTGTGCTTCTGGAAAGAGAACCCTTAGGCTTCCCTAACTCATATTGGAGTGCGGGACTGGCTGTTTGTGTTCCACGGAATATTCCATTTGACGCTGAAGCGGTCTTGTTCATTCCATTTTGAGTGTCACCAGTGGTAGTTGCGGGTTGTTTAAGCACAGAGGACGACAGATTCTGAGAGAAAATGTTCTGGATATCTTCATTCAATTTAGCTGAGCCATCCTTTTTCACATTGTTGACGTCCGAGCTGCTTTGTTCAACGGTTTTCGAAGACTGTGGATATCTCCAGGAAGTGGCAAGCTTTAACTCAGAAGATTTATTTTTCGGGGTGGATTGGGATTGTGTCCGTTCAAGGTGATCCAATATTGTCCTAGCAATCTGACTAGAATGTGTAGGCACAATCGGGGTACCAACTTCTGACTCTTTATGCTTACCGTAAGTTGTTGTCTGGGACCTAGATAGGTAACTCGATTCCCCTGCTTCAGAGCTCTTCATAATAGCAGAATTTTCAAAACGAGATATACCACGGGAAGGTCGTGAATAAGGAGACACCATGGTCGGCGTGGCGCTCTGACGAGATCTTCTACTGGGTCCAAAGAGTCCACCATCCCTTCCCTTGCTAAGCTGTGCACATTATAAAATGGTTATCAGGTTTCAACTGAGGAAATAGGAATTAGCAGATAGAAGGAACCCAGGAAAGATTCAAAAGGCAGTATAGTGATGACTCTAATTTAGAACCTAGTTTTACAAAAGGTAACAAGACCTAGAGGATCGACATTATGAATGCATAGACGAAAATAACTCCAGAAAAGTCAAGGCAAAGGTGTCCAAAATTAAGTCATCCGCATAACTGTATACTCGTCTATTCTTCTGTTGCCTAAATCACATCAACCACCGTTTCATTCACATTCTTTTTAAGTATACATTATATAATCAGTCAAACACTGGTTAAGCCAATAGAAAACAATTTCCATCAATCTAGTGGCAAGAACAGTACTTTTAAACAATTAACTGACTGTTACAGTCCCTTTGCTTAAGATCTCATCTTAGGTAGATTCCCTAACACCATTTCAAGAGGTAAAGGAGGACCTAAATTCATTAGTTCATTTTCACAGAGGACCTATTTGAAGCAAGAACTATATGATTCTTCTAGTTGATAAATTGTCTGCCTATCTCTGATGAAAGTCAAGAGGGGTTAGCGCTTGCAAGTTGATAGATAACATTAGATATATATACTCTAGAAAGTAGGAATGTTTAGTACTGTAGATTTATAATCCCTCTGAAGTCCCATAATATAAGCTCCAGGACAGTTGAAAATAGCCCATCATCAAGCATCAGCATTAAGAACGACATGTTAGAAAGAAGCCATCCAAAACCTCTATTTAAGGAGTTTGGAAGTCAATATGTCCGGGAAGAATACAATACATTCTTTAATATTGTCTTAAAAGTTTACAAAAATAAATAGTTAGCTCACTTTTATGAGATAACTCTTACTGGTAATCAGAATTATAGAGCCCACTGAGAGAGTTTACCTGGCCATATCTTGTCTCCACACTTTGAGAGGGAGACTGGAGGTTGCTTAGGCGCTTGCTACTATCGTTCTGCAATTGCATCAACTAAGCCAAAAAAAAAAAGGAACAGCTCAAATATACCAAAGATATTTAGTAAAAAGTAATAAGAAAAAACTCCACACACCTTTGACTTAGAATTTGAAAGGATGGTTCTAGAATATGGGGTCCTTGGAAAATTTTGAAGCCCATAGCTTTCTCTTCGGCTTTGAGGAGTTGCAAAACCAGATTGCTCACTTGACTTGATACCAGGCCAACAAGCAGAAGGCTTGCTTGATGGTGATGCAAGTGATGATTTTCCTACAAGCATACTCCTATCTAAACTATCCTTTTCATTTCTTGCTACAAAACCTTGGGAACTAGTTGATGATGTCTGACCTCCCATATATGCCTTAGCAAGTTCTGCCGGTGAAAGACCAACTTCATCTTGTATCTGTTTGTCTCCGTCAAAAATCTATGAAAAAAGTTAATACGAAAAAGTGAGTAAATAAAAGAGTTAAGGAAACAAGGACCAGTGAAGAAATAATTATCAACTCTTTGATGAAGCAAATATGTGTAGTTACATAGTTCTTCTTGTTTACATATTTCTTCATAAGTTTTCACAAACAGACCAACCTCAAATTACTCCTATAGACTGCAAACTAGACTTTTAGAATTTTATGGCAACTGGAATAGCCTAAGCAATTCATGTTAATGCTAGTTTCATCAGAACAAAAATAGGCTGGATAGTAAACAACTCACTATTGACTTGGCAAGTGGGGCTGGTGTAGCCCATAGTTCACTATTAGAATCCTTGACACCAATGGGATCTCTTGTCTTATCATACAAACTCATATTTTTTTTGGCTCCCTCTCTCAAAGGAATCTCCGAATTTCTCTCGTCTCTCTTGACATCAGGTAGATCAATAGCCCTTGAACTTAGTATCTCTATGAGACGATCAGTTTCAGCCCTGGATAGAAATTAAAAGATGTCAGTGTAAAAATGGTATATAATCAGAACTGTCAAGAAAAAATAACAGAACGGCCAGGAAAAATAAGCAGCTAGTCAATAAGATAATACTGGCCGAGACGTGACTGTAAGCAACAAGAAAATCAAGTATTAACATAAAGAACATACTGTGAAAATGTTTTTCCTTCCATTAGCCTTTCAAGCTCCGAGATTGCAACGGCGTCATTTAAAGCTGCTTTCCCTCTTCCCTGTGCACTGATACTGAAATTGCCTTCGTTCACGTTTGCTGTACCACTAGGACCTCCCACTTCAATTGATGCTGACTCCGGTTTCTGAAAAGTTTATCAAATCACTTAAAGATAGAAAATGATGTATGCCATCATAGCAAATCACAAAAGCAGGCATTAAATAACGAGAGTATGAATAGCAGGACGGAATCAAATTGTGTTATTTACTTGGAATCAAGAGAAAGATTCAACTCAAAAGTAAGGAACAGTAAGATTACATCTGTCTTAGGTTATACATTTATGTTACCAGAATCTCAGAGAAGAAAATTGCATGACTGTTTTCTTTGGTAACACATTCTTTATAGTATTAAATCAGCTGCAATATAAATCAGGCCGGTAAGACAAAAGCACTGTCGCATCATACAATACCTCGCACAATTTGATATCAATGTAATATCAGTTGAGAAATTAACAAAAATAAATTATAAAAGATCCCTAACAGCAAAGTGTCAAAGATAACAAAAACTCATCTGAATACAACTTCAGTAAGATAAATAATGCTTATATATGTTAGCCCTAATTTCACAAGTGGTTGATAAAATAGCACATGACAAAGACCCCAAAAAAAAACACGTTAGCAAGGTCAAAAGAAATCATCTTAGCTAAAGCAGTAAGTTCCCAATTGAGTTTAAGAAAAGAGAGAGGAGAAATTGAAAGACGCTTACATTTAAACTTGGGGTTACACTGGTATCATTGTCTAGTGGACCATTCTGCAACTCACCTAGTAGAAAGAGAGGCCAAATGTTAAACCATGACAGCTCGAACGAAATATATTAGCCTATAACACTAAATTGTAAATACATCCCAAAAGACGAGATAACAACTCTATATCTTTTACAAAAGCTACTTTTTTGAGCAAACAAGTATTACATCCATCACTCAGTGGATACTAAGAGCTATTTAGTAACAACAGAGAATACATTTAGTCAGTATCAAAGTAGTCTCGCAACAAAAAAACACTAACAGAGGCTAAGACTAAGACCACACAGGGTGACAAAATCGTCTAACTTGACCATTACAAGTCATGAACAAACCGTAACCAGAAAAGCCTTAACTTCTATAAAATTCCACTTAAATCAAAACCAAAAGACCCCTCTTCTATCCTGGCGATTGTCACTTCTAATTTACAGCATCGAAACAATTTCAACAAATACTCCTAAGCAGAGAACAGATATACCACCATAGAGATCAGTTCATATAATAAATCCCCAAAGCTGCAGAAAAATTCCAGGAAGAGAAGCCTTAATACGAGGCTAGAAAGAGCAAGTATAGACCAAAAACCTTGATGTTGATCTTGATCCTCTGGAGCAGTAAGAGCAGGAGGGGAGGTGGCTTTAGAGAAGAAATATGGAAGTATTCTCGTAGCGCCGCCGGAAATAATCCGATAAGCAGGATCGACGATTCTCGAGATCCACGGCCTCCGTTGTAACTGGTTCTGTGGTGGTCGAGAATACGGCGTCGCCGCATGCCTCCTCGCGGATTGCCGCTTCAATTTGCCACCAACACCTCCCGTCGGATAGCTCGACGTCGCCGTCGCGGTCGCGGCCGCGGAGAACGTCGCTTCTCCTTCAGTGGCCATGAGCTCTCTTTGTTTCAGTGTTCGTTTCTCAATTTTTTACCACACTCTCTCTTATAGAACGAACCTTTTTGAGTTCTCGGATTTTATCCCGAGAACGTAAGTGTAATTTGCGCTATTTTTAAGTCAAAGGGGTTGTTGTGTTCGATGAAAAAAAAAAAAAAGGGTTGCTGTGTTCATGTGTGTGTGCTTTTTTGACATTTTTCTAGTATCTTGTATATGTTTCAGGAAATCAAGAAATTAGTTAAAAGAAGAAGGATTTTAAGAAAAAAGTTATCTTCTAGTTGAGATTGAGGGAAGCATAATTAGAAGATTATCCAACCAAAAAAAAAAGAAAAAAATCTCGAAGGTTAAAGAAATATACTATTTGTTTAGAACTTTAGATTTGGGAGCTAATAATTTAGGGTTTAGAGTTTATGTATAAGTTTTAAAAATTTTAGGGTGTTAATATGACACACCAGAGTTCTTTTGTGAGGACACCTTTTTCAGAAATTTATTTTGCTTACTAACATTTTTTCTAATGTAGCAAAATATAAAACACATTTTAGTCTTAGGTTTGTGTGATTTGATCGCACACTTGTAAAAATGGGAAAGGTAATGCACACTTGTGCCTCGCGAAAGAGTGATCGCGGCTGTTTAGGAATTGCTTAACCATGGGGAAATTCGTTCGTCTAACGTCAAAGGGGCGATGGTAAGTTGCCTAGGCCGAGGAAAGATTGTTGCAGTTTTCCTAGAAATTTTGTCATTTTAACACAAATCTTATGAAAAGAAAACTAAATTTTAAACAGAAAAAAAGGAATTTTTAAATCTTAAAAAGAGTGTTTTGAAAAATAGGTCCACTTTTTTTTCAGTAGGTCCACTTCAATTAAAATTTTGTCAAATATATGGATTATAATCTCTTGTTGCACACCTAACCCATCTCTTGCGAGCCGAGCTTGATATACCACTGCCTTTAACTCTGACATCGAGCAAGATCGAGCGGCCAGCTACATGAATTTGCTTCTCTAAAGTTATATACCTTATTCTACTGATCACAGTCTACAAACTTCATGTCTCATGGGCAGCTAGCTAACTGCCTTTGTATATCTGTCTGAGCACAAAAATCCTCCAAACGGACTTAATGTTACCAAATTTCTCTTTGATTGTTTTTCCTCAGACATGACTTCACAGACTCGAGTAGGTTTTAACAAGAGGTGGTGGTGGTTCTCCTGACGACAATTTTCAGCCTCTCTAGTGGCTAACATGACAATGAATCCCTTCATCAGAAGAACTGGCAGTCATAGTTGTTCTCCATTGTAATAGGTTTGGTGTGTGCAGGCACGGTTCTACGTCCGGTCAGAAAATATCGCAACCCCAATTCATTTACACCAACCAAAAAGCAAAACTTTTATTGCATATCTTATTATTCTTTCAGTGGTATTACTACAACTGAGACAAATTCTAACACCGAGCAGAGAAACACCCATAAAAGGCTTAACTAAAGAATTCACATTAAACAAAAGGGTTAGATAAAATCATAGACGTGACACGTTTATCTAAATCTATATAAAAGACTGGATGGTAATGCCGACCACGAGTTTAAGACATGGCCGTGATTGGAGAAGGTCCGGTGAAGAAATTCATTCGAGAAGTTTGATGTTCAAGTTCTTCTTCGTGTCTCTCTTCCTTCTCCTCTTCTTCTTCCTCTTCAGCATCCCATAGAAACCGTGCATACGAAGCTTGTACATAACTGCAGAAAACAACAAGTGCGTTAGTCAGAATTCAAGCAGAATAGGCACACAACTACTATCGAAGTCCCAAAGAAGAGAGCTTGATTTATAAAGTTTGAATCTTTTTCTTACCAGTCCTCAGGAGCAGCTGCAACAGCTTGATTGAAGTAAGTCTCAGCACGAGATGAATCCTTATGGATCTTCCAAACCAGCTCAGCGTACATAGCTAGAACATTCCCATCATTAGGACTCACCAGAATAGCTCTCCCACAATATTCCTCTGCTTTCAAGTAATCTTTTCGAACCTGTTTCAATCAATCATATGACACATTCCAATTTTGATAATCCCCAAATCAAAGTTCATTCATTCAGATCTGAAAGAGACCGGAAAAAGAAAAAAAGACTGTACCTCCTTCAAGAATCTGGCGTAATTGCTGAGAAAAATCCCATTTCCAGGATTAGCTTCAATCATCTTACGATAATGAACATCAGTGTTATCGTCACCACCATCAGATCTACCACCACTCCTTCCTTTTCCTCCGCCGTGAAACATCCCACCACCACCACCGCCAGTAACCTCAGTATCTTCCTCCAAAGCCCAACTTATACCATCATAAGACGACGTGCGTATAAGACCGAATCCAATTCCTTCTTCCATATCCTCCATCAAAGCACCACCGCTCAAAAACTTACTCACCGGCGGTTTCGTCGATGTCCAATGTCGTAGATCGCTCTCTGACGCCGTCCTTTTCATCTTCCTTGAAGATTCGTCACTAGATTTTACAGACATCGGGCTATAACAGCAACAGGAAGAAGACGCAGAGAGTGTTAAGGATCTGTGCCGTTGAATCTGATGAACAGATTCAGCGGCTTCGATTGGAGATTCCCTTGGACTGGAGACATGAACCAATGAATTGAGAAGTGGCGTTGACGCGCTTCGTAGAAGCATCTCTATTCTGGATCTGAATTACGAGATTCTTAGGTTTTGATTAAAGGAAGAAGAAGAAGCTTATAGATTTGTTGTTTTCCAGGTTTGAGCTGGTGATGACAAGTGAAGACGGTGCTTATAATAGAGACGCAGGTAAAGGAAAAACAATCTCAGCCGTCCATTAGTTTTTAATCACGTGGTGGGTATTTAATTATAAATTAATATTTTTGGTTAATTAAATTAGATTTTTTTTTTTGTTTTGGTTTGGTTGATTTATTTCTACAAGTGGTGTACCAAAATGATTTTTGATTTGACTTTGCTTGTGTATGATTGGTGTGCGGATTCTTCTCTGTTCGTTAGTACCCCTGTTCTAAAAATCCCCGCCTAGACCCGATTACTCCCCGCTTAATCGCTAGGCCCACCCTGTCCGCCTCGATTAATGACTAATCCCTTAAAGAAATCAGTCACCCGATTACTCTCCGCCTAATCCGATTATTCCCCGCCTAATCCGATTATTCCCTGCCTAATCTTACATACCCCGATTATTTTTAGATTGCCAGTATAAAAAAACTTTTTATTTTTGTTATTCAATCATTTGAATTGGGAGTTTGTAATGTTTTACAATAATTTATGTTCATATTTTAATAAAAATCATAAATATTTGTCTCAAAAATACATTTTTATGTGTTTACTGCAATTTTAAAAATAATATTGGATTAATATGTTTTAAAAATATTAAAATAACCCTAAAACTAATCCCCGATTAATCCCCGATTTTAATCCGATTTTCCGATTAATCGCTAGGCCCATGCCGAGCGCCCGACTAGCGCCTAGCGATTTTTCAAACAAGGGTTAGTACTACTAGTACTAGTAGACGATTCGAGAATTAGGAAAAAAAGAAAGCAAAAGCTTAAATAAATATCTCGTTACAAAACGCGGAACTGGTTCACGAAGATCGCGGAATTGCAAGTGGACGGCAGTGGCACCAGAAAAATTTGGTTCACGGCCAATCTGTCTACAAATGACACGTGGGACAAAACATGTAACAGATGTACGGTAGTAGATTCGATTCTTGGTTTTGCATAAAGTACTGTATTTATACGTAGATGTGTGCAAAAAACACAAAAATTGTTTTTCTTAGCAAACAAAAAAAAAAACAGAAAAGTGATCTAAAAAAAAAAAGAAGGATTGTAATTATATGAGTAATTTGAGAATCAATTGGGTGGGTGGGTCCTTCTTTGATTGTACGGTTCACGGTTCCACTTCCATCTGGCTCACGAATGTTGTAATTGACGCTTTGGCCCATAACCATTTCTATCTTTTGATTTTTTTGGGGTCCCATTCTAAGTTGATAACATGGCCAAATTTTACTAACTTTTAACATTTCGGTAGTACAACAATTAGTGTCAAAATAAGATAAAAACAGTACAACTAATGTAAGTATTACGAAAGTGCTTATTTTGGCTCAATTCAACGGCAAATTTTAATTTGAGTTGCAGTTTTAGACTACACCATCATCTATAAATCTTTGTATACTATAAAAACCAAACTAAATTTCAAGACAGTTTTTTTGATAAAATTTCTACTTATCGATCTAAACTTTATATAATTATAAATCCGAAACTACCAAACTCAAACTAAAAAGTTCTGATCCTGAAGCTAGAATTGCGAGAAGACAATGAACCGAAATCTTAAATTTTTTAAAGACAAATGAATAACTCCATTATTCAAGAACAATCGTGACCAATACGTTATATGGTCCAACTAAACAAATGATATATATATTAAGATCATATATATATATATATATATATATATATATATATATATATATATTTTGATCATGTTAATTTTCATTGGCAAGCGATCCTGAACCTTTGAGAAATTATCCTGTCTTGAATTATATATTGAGTAAATTAATTATCCCTTTCCTATTTTTGTTTCCTGTGAAAGAAACACAATTACGATGGTTATCTCTCGAGATCAATTGGTTAAAATTGCAGCTCAAAAACGGAAAATACGAAAGGGTATGTCAATTATTGATGAGGTGATTTTTTTGGAATGAAGCTGTTAACGATTTGACTCAGAGGGAAACTAAAACAAAAAGTAATAAAGAAAGTTTATGTCCAAAAGTAGTACTGTCCAAAAGTGGGGCCCATGGGATATGCTTATTGGAGTGGGCTTCCTGTGACCTCTCACAACACCACGTAGGACCTACGAGCCGAGTGCTCAACGGTGGAGAAAGAGATAGGGTCGTTGTCGTTGAGAAGTCATCGTCTCTCCCATTTCTTTGTATTTGATTCGCATTTAGTGGGTGAGCTTTGTGCAGCCTCATTTTGGAATAGTGGAATTTGATTATAAACATGCGCAAACGACCCCAACATATATATTTCAAACCACTTAGTACGCAGTGAATACAAATTCAACCACAAATTGCACATTTCATTGCCATGTGATCGATAGTGGATATTACTAATCAAGAGTTTTCTAAAAAGAAACACATGTTATTGTGATCCCTCTCGCTCAATAGAACCTGAAGCAGCATATGCCCCAGAGGAAAAAATGTAAAAAGCAAATACTAGAGTGTCATAATATATCTCTTTGTTCAGGTCATGCGAGGCACAATCAAACAGGTCTCTAACGAGAGCCTATGACTGACCAAAGTAAAAGTGGAGAGATATACAATAATGTTTCACCTTACCAGGAATTGGAAGAAACTGCGAGATTACAACCCTGAAGATTAAAAAAAGGGAAATGCTGACATCCTAATTTCCTTGTTTGAAGAGAATGGATGCAAGACCTGACCTCCATCCGAAAAACGCTGTTGGCATAGGCCTTTTGTGTAAAAGTGATGCCAGACCGGCTGATACGCCCTGACCAGGCAGCCTCGTCATCTCCTGACTAGCAATCGACTCAGACAACCTGTTTTATAAACACAAAACACTTTAAAAGTAAGTTTCTTGTTACTTTCAACTCTGCAAAGGAAAACAAGTGCATATATACTTCATGATTCTGTGTGATGTTCCATTATAGTGAAACCTGATTACCTTTATCGAAACTAAATTGCATTTTAGTAACTTTTCAACACTCTGAATCAACGGAAAACAGCCAAAACAAGATTAAAGTCTTTAGCAAACATAAGATTTCCCATACTAGCTACTCATTTTTCAATGAATAGAACAAAATTTAGGTAGCAAGTGATTCACAATGGTCAAATGAAAGTAAGAGCTTTGGTTCTTTAGTATCTTTATACCCATCTTCATGAACGACATATACACTGTACTTAACCCCTCAAAAATCCGAATGAAACACCTAATTAGTCAAAAGCAAAAAACAGATCATACAAGATTCACTTACAACGGGGAAGGTATAATTCCTTCATAAGCAAAGGAGCTGAACCCTTGTCTTTGCTTGTGCTTAGGATTGGAAGAACATATGATATAGACACGTCCACGACGTTTCACTGTTTTACAAAACTCACACATCTTCTTCACAGATGATCTCACCTTCATGGTTCCTCACTCTGAAATTTCGCAACCGTCATTAAAAAGAGTGCAGTACCAAAACTCAATAGATGAAAATGAAAGAGAACTCTTCAAAGTATTCAACTTTGAGATTCATAACTATAAATTTTATCCCCTACACATCTCATTTCTACTAAACTACCCAAAATTGCAATCCTTGTTTAGTCGGATGATGGAAGCAAAAGTAAAACGAATCTGAAGCATCCATCTCTAACTACACCGAATGAATCACACAAGAGCAAGAACTGAGAGAAAACCCTAGATAGATCCAGATACGAAATCAAATGATAATCAACGAGAACCCATGAACAACAAAATACCTGCGAATTCAAAGGCGACTACGAAGAAGAGCGATCGATTCCCAAATGCAAATGAAAGGGTTTTACGGAGGAGTTTAGCAGAACGCGTAGTACAACATATTTTTGGGCTTTTAATGGGCTTTACCCGAATAAGGATCCGGACAAGTTTCGACCCGGAATTGTTAGATCTAAATAACCGATTTAGAGCGGTGAAGCGTTTTTGGCCGGACTGTGTCACCGTCGACCTAGAAAATCTGAGGTTTTGACCGGGAAGATTTTTCTGTAGCGTAATGGATAGCGACATGGAAATCTCTCTCGACAGGCTTCCCATAAAACGATTGGAATCTATTGAGGAAAATGGCGCCGAGCGTTTTCCGTCGTAAGTTTTGTGTTTATGTTTGAGAAAGGAGACAGACTTTTCCCAGATTGTTTTGCTTCTGAATGATTCGTTTTGTTTTTGGTTTACGTGTAGTGATGTTGGTTACGATGATAAGAGAGTATCGCTGATTCGGAGAATAGACTTCGCGTGGGCATTGGAAGAGGAAGATGAGCTGAAGAAGAAGAAGCAGAAGAAAAGCTCCAAGGATAGCGCGGAGCAATGGAAATGGAAGGGAATGGTTGAGAATTTGCAATTGGCTCATCAGGAGCTCTCTGTCATCATAGACCTTATCGACACTGTGAGTGACTCTTCTTATGCAATTCTTTTTGTTTATTGGTTTGATGGAAGGAGATGAAATTTGATTTCTTTATGTTGTCAAAGAATTGAACAAGAATTTCTTATTGTGTCCAACAAGCTTGCAAAAATATACATATGGCAGAAGTGATTTTGGGGTGATATTTGAACAGAGAGTTAATAAACTTAACAGTTTATTTTCTGATTTTATCTTTGAAGGTCCAAGCAAATGATGCAGTAACAGTTGCTGGGATGACCAGACCTAAGCCGCTGCCGAATGAGATTCTCTCGGATCTTGCTGTGTCTACTGCTACCAAGTTGCAGGGCTACCGGGTAACCTGTTGCTTACCTTCTTATGTGCAAATTAACTTTGCTTAAAGATGGAAGGATTCTGGTAGTTATCTTAGTTAGACACTGTTTAGTATCCTGAAAAACTGTTGCAAAAATGAACTTGCTTACCCTAAAGAGTATATTGGATAGTATGCTTATGTCACTTCTGAATACCTTTTTCCTCTGCAGAATTTAGGAAACTACTTTAAACAATCAGCAAAAGCTTTAGAGCAGAAAATCAACCGCGAAGCAAGGTTTTATGGTGCTCTTATCAGGTTCGAGGATTTGCTAATAAACTTTCCATTTAATGTCAGCGGCTATTTTTCTTAGTGCCGTTTTGCAACTTTAAGAATTTGCTGTTTACATTCTTGATACTAGATTTAGTTAGCTTACAATGTTATAGCTATTTGTGTTGTGCTCAGATAATTGGCATCCCATTTTTGGATCTAGAAGTATGACTTATGACTGATAAACGTGAAAGCATTTTATTATTCTTGTTTATTGTTAAAAAATTCCAAATTTCGACTTCTACACCGACTCTGTTGCTGAACTCTGATAGTACAGTACTTCAGGAACATCCATTTTGGTGTGTATTGACTGCTTAGGACTATGCCAACACAAATTAGAGAATTTCTTTTGAAATTGTTTATAATTTGCAGAAGATGACTTCTCCAGCTTCCAGAATATAGATTGATTAATATGTGCAAATGGTTATGTTTGCTATGCTGACAAGCTTATAGGTTGCAGCGGAACTGGAAAGTCAAGAGACAGCGCATGCTTGCTTCAAACGCCAGCAATGAGGGCTTCACCATTGATCTTTCTGACAGTTCATTACATGATCCGACTTCTGGTTTTCGCCCATCTACACTGTCCACTATTCGTGTAGATCATGATTCAGCTGGTATGCTAGCCATTAATGTACCCCAAGATTCATGGTACTCTCTTCGGTTTGGGTTTGTTGGCTTAAATCCGATTGACAACACAAACGAGTCTGATGAGCACCTAGACTCCACTATGGGCCACGATATCCCTGGAACATCAGAGAAGCAGTCTGCAAGTGACGACGAATATGTTAAAGAAACTCATTCCCTACTGAGGGAGGTGCATAAATCAATTTTTGCTGAGCAGGTGGTATTTTAGTCATATATCTCGTACTACGCTTGGTATATCTCTTCACGGCTATTTCTCACTTCTTTCGTCTTCTTACCAGTTGTTTGACATGCTAAATCGTGAAGCATTCAATGAAGGTGTGGGATTCAACATTAGTGGAATACGAGAAAATTTTATGGAAATGAGCATTGGCCAAGGAGCTTCTTTGTTTGTATCTCTCCACCCATCAGGCAAGAATGCCAGCATCAAGAAGTCGGAATCTGCAACCTTGCTCATTGAATCTTCTGGCAGAATAGAACCAGCAGAAGGAGACTATCGCTTGAAAAAGCTAGGGTTCCCTAATCGCGCCAGCTATGAAATATACTTGCAACAAATTTTTCACGAGCATGCCTTTGGAAAAGCTAAAGATCAGCCCAAGTCAAAAAGTATCCGAGCATCCAATCAAACAAGAAAGGACAGCAACTCTGGACTTCTTGATCATTTCTGCTTATCTTTGACTCATAGAATCTTCTCAAATAGAGTGCTTGAGCATCTGGAAAGCGTGGTATTTTCCCTGTTGCGCTAAACTTTATTGAATGATCATATTCTCTATCAAGAAACTTCTTGTCATCTTTGATCATGCTTTTATTAATAATGGTTACTTCCTCATCGAACAGGTCTGCAAGGTCCCATATCTTCATTTGATATCTCATCCTACATGGAATTCTCGGACATCGTCATGGACTGTCTTCATGACTGTTCCTCCATCAATCATCCCCCAAGGAAGTTCTGAAACCCAGTCTCCAGATGGTAAGAGGAATCTGAAGATGCAGTTCCGGACAAAAGTGGTGGTGAAGGATGAGTGTATTAGTGTTGAAGCAGAATGCACGCCCAATGTGGTTGGCTTACTCAAAAGCAGTTCCTGCAATTTATTCGCTATGAACAAATACGAGTGCGGCGTGGCCGACCTTCCCGTGATAATTCTCCAACAGGTAGGTGTCTTATTTTCCTAAAAGTTGGTCATGTCTGTAGCAACACGGTCCCTTAACCATGCGGTTTATTTATTTGAGAAGGTGGCAAGCCAGATAGTGTGTTGGCTACTGGAGGAAGCACGGACAGTAGGGACAAAAGCGAGCCGGGATTTTCTGTCGCTATCATTAGAGATAGTGGAAGGGGAGAGAGTGAGCCTGGTGGCGCAAGTGAACCCAGAAGACGCAAAGGGATGCATATCGTGGTGGCTAGTGATGGAGAATGGAAGCACAGAGGAGAGGGAAGGGGTGTCGGAGAGTAGGAAGTTGTTGGGTCATTTGTCTCTCGATGTCTTGTACTCTGTTCTCATGGATTTGATCAACTTGTGTGGTACTGGTCGCAATGCTTTAGTGTCGTGAGACTCTTCTTGAATAATAGCATTCCCGACCAAAATAATTCTTGTTTTCGACTCAATTGTGAATTTAATGGATTAAGGATTTTGATTATTACTTACTGTATATAAAACTTATTTTTACACAATTGTTTTAAAATAATATAATATTAATATCAAAGGAAGAGAGGGGTAAAAAAGGAAAACCAGAATAATAATAACTCACGCGAACGTTTCTCTCCTCCTCCGTCTCTCGTCGATCCCACTCTTCACGTCTCGCAGATATTTTGGCTAGATTCAAGCTTCAAAACCCTAATTTCTGTAGCCATTAGCATCGATTTCAGCTCAAACTACAGGTTTGCTTTTCCCTTTTTGTATCATATCCCATCCACTGATCGATATTTCTCAATTTTCTGATTTGCTGCTCTCTCTCGAGTCACCGTTATGGAGTTCGATTCCCTATATGATCTGATAATTATGAAATTCACAGATGCTTCTAATATAGTAAATCTGATTTTGAATTGACGAATAGATGAACATTCCCTTGATTTGTTCTTCTACAAATCTCGGTGGTGATGAATTGTTAGGTTTGATGACAATTGTGTTTACTCAGTTTTTTTTTATGTGTTTAGTTATGATTCTTCTTGAATCGATTCTCATGTGATCCCCATTATTGTTTATATGGTTATTTCAGATTCAAGGAAACAATTATTTTAGCTTCTCAAGTGCTACTTCAGTGATCAGATACAATGGTAGTTATTTGCCTTCTCTTAGTCCATTGTGAAAATTTCAGTGCATTGAGCTAAGAGTTTTGTTTATCTTTGATGATTTTACAGTCAGCTTTGTTCAATTTCCATTCGTTTCTGACGGTGGTGCTGCTTGTGATCTGCACTTGCACATATCTCAAGATGCAGTTCCCTGCCATTTTGGAGCAGAAAACTGGGTTTGTATCTTCTCTATTCTCCTGTTTTCTTCATTTTGATTCACCTCCTATTGGCTTCCAAAACCGAGAACACATTTGGAGCTTTGATACCGTTCAAACATTTGACCAAATTCAAGATGCTTTCTCATCCTATTACTTTCAATCTCTCTATCTCATGCTCTTTTTGCCCCCACACTTTGATCTATACATATTAATTATGAAAAAAAAAAAACTTGTAATATATAGTGATTCATCGTTGCAGGTTTCGAGGATTCTTTTGGAAGGCTGCTAGAATAGGTAGGCTTTTGCACCCTTTTCGAGCTCAGTTGTCTCTTGTATTTCTTTGTAGATTAGAAACATTGTGTTGAAGAATTCTTCTTTGCATATGTTGTAATAGAGACTAATGATATGCTTTCTAGGAGCAAAAACTTGCTAGTAATCAATGCAGCCACTAATATTGAACTATATAATTGCAACACATAAAAAACCCGGGTTCTAATCCCTTGGCGATCTCCTATTTAAGCAAATGCATGATGACACATAATATAGTCTCAGGCTATATTCTCCAATAGTTACTGTGATTAGTTTTCAGTTGGTTATTAAACTTTGGTTTGTCATCACTTGTTACAGGTGAGCGTTTGAGCCCTTGGGTCTCTGCTGGATGCTTCATGATGGGTGTGTCGATCATTTTCTTTTGAGTGTCAACTTCTTACAGAACCGGTTCGTCTAGATTTTTCTGTATGCAAAAGATTCCAAGGGGTTGTTGATGAAACCGAAAGAGTAGAATATTATCCTCTTTGGATTATGGATATGGTCTTGTATTTGGAACAATTGTGTCTAATATTTTGATGTGTGAGACAAGCCCATAAGCTCAAACATAGGAATTAGTAGAACATAAGAAATTGGAACCAGCTATTAAAACGCATCTTTGTCGCAAAAGAAGAGAGTGATCACATCACATACGTAACTTGAAGCTTTGCTAGTTTGATTGAACTAATGAGAGCATCAGTTAATAAAAAGATTGTAAAAGATTCGTGTTAGTAAGTTGTAATTATCAATCAATTTTGGATAATCGATCAGTTTTATGCGAGCATAGAACAAAGTAAATGGTTGCCCTTTTGGGCTTTAATCAAAATTTGGCCGACAAAAGAAAAAAAAAAAACCAAACTCCAAAGTCAAAACTAGTTCAGTAGTTCTGTCGGTTGGATTAGTGCTGAAAGCTACAAGGGCCGAAGTATATCATCATCCAGGCCCATTAAAAGATGTATAAATAAATGGACAAGCATATAAGTAACAGCTTAAGCCTAAATTCTCATTCAGAATCTTCAAGCTGAGAAACTCGTAGCCTCTAAAACCCTAATCCTCTCTGAAACCCTAGCAATCGCAGCTGAAAATGGTACTTCTCTCTCCATCTTCTTCTTTTCGATATTATCTCGCTGTGTTTTCGAAGGAACCTTTCTCTTTGATTGTTTGATTTGGGTTTTAATTTGTTTTTTTGTTGCAGACCGGAGAAGCCGTTAACCCTAAAGCGTATCCGCTTGCAGATTCTCAGTTATCGATAACGATTCTTGACCTCGTTCAACAAGCAACTAACTACAAGCAGCTCAAGAAGGGTGCTAATGAAGGTATCTTCTTGTTACTCATGTGCTTGTCTCTCTTATTTTATTCGGCTTTGTAATTTGTGAAGTTGTTCTTGATTTGTGTTAATTTACTTATTTCAGCTACAAAGACTCTTAATCGTGGAATCTCCGAGTTTGTGGTTATGGCTGCAGATGCTGAGCCTCTAGAGATTCTTCTTCATCTTCCCTTACTTGCTGAGGATAAGGTTTGCTTTGCTCTATTACAGTTTCTTTATCAAATGAATTCTTTGTTTCCTGAATCTAGAATAGAGTCTTGTTTCTCTTGATTGTTAGTTTGATTAGTTAAGTGTTAATAATTAGTCATTTCTTGATTGTTGGTTTGATTAGTTTGGTTTGTGTTAATGATTAGTCAAGTTTTGTATATCATTTTGTTTACTAAACTCTTGTCTCATACTTGTAAGTTTGCTTTATGATTGTTTTTTTGAGTTTTACAAGTTGTATCATTTATGCTTGTGTTAAGCTTGTTGTTTTTGATTCTGAAATGCTTTGTTTGATGTTCTTTTTGTACTAATTTTCCATATTCTTTCTTTCTTTGTGAATGTTTTGCAGAATGTTCCTTATGTCTTTGTGCCTTCAAAGCAAGCTTTGGGAAGAGCCTGTGGTGTGACTAGACCTGTTATCGCTTGTTCAGTCACATCTAATGAAGCTAGTCAATTGAAATCACAGATCCAGCATCTCAAGGTAACTTAGCCTTCACTTAATAACCTATTAAACCCCCATTGATTTTGCATGTTTGAATAGTTTGTTAATCATTTACTTATTTAAAATTTCTGCAGGATGCTATTGAGAAGCTTCTGATCTAAGGCATTCTCTGATTGATTGCTCGGTATGATGGGTCTCCGTGAATGGGAAGGCTTTGACTGAAGTTTTGTTTAGGCAACTACCAAATCAAAAACCGTCCATGATTCTACTATCTTCACTTCAAGTTTGTAACGTAATTCACTTTTCTGCATTTTCAGTTTCTTAAGAGTGTGCTGGTTTTTGGTTTTGGTTTGTAGCGAATCATTCTCGTATTTATGAGAACTTGTTTTGACTTCTATTTTTTCCTGAAAATGCTCTCATCTTCCAGTCCACAAAACGAACAGAGTATACAATCAAAACTAGACCACTATTTGAAGGACCTTAATAAAGTTATATTTGAAGGTGAAACCTAATATAATAAAGTTACATAAAGAGAGTTAATGTTGCATTCTACAAGACATTGGTTTGGGGTCACGAATAGCATTTGAAAGATTAAACCACTCAAAATTTAGATTTCATCATTCCTCCTAATAGAGGATTATGATCTTGTAGTTGTTGTAGTAAGTAACTTGAAATATCAAAGATAATGACTTTGGATAGGAAGACATGAATAATTAATCTGAAGTGGTATATTACATCAACTACTACACCCAACACAAAAACAAAAGTTACATTGCAGTTTACCCAAGGACTTATGACCGACCAAAGATGATGTCCAGAAAAAGATCCTATCGTTTCTTCTGCCTTTTTTGTGTACATTAATTGATGATAATGTCTTGTTTAATCTGTTAGCTTCTTCTAATGTATAAAAAAAAAAAAGTGGAAAAGAGCGAGTGTGGCTCCCTCTCTACTTGGCTTCTTGCTCCAACAACGGAATCTTGTTCCATGTCTCGTCTAACCCGTTTAATTGGAGAGGCGGCAATGAAAACACACTAACGGTAGAACTTCCGCTTCTGATCTCCTTCAAAACCCGCAAAGCAGCGATTGTACTCTTCATGTGGAGGCTCTCCATGAACTTGTGCTCTGAAAGCTCTGCTTGGATAACCTCAGACTCCGGTTCGTTAGCAGGGAAGAAGTGATCAAGCATCGCTTCAGATTCCTTGACGAGCTTGTACAATAAGTCTGTAGTGTAAAAGGGTTGTTGAAGAACTTTCTGGATAAAGGGTAAACGCATGAGATCACCAGTTCTTTTGTCATACTTCTTCAGTATCTTAACCAATCCTGTAGTTTCCAACAAACAAACCAAAACCCATGTCAAACATTTGTTCTACTAAATAATAATAAGATCTGCTAATGTCTATCACATCATTAAGGTTAAGATTAATTACCAGTATAATTAAGGGCACTGTAATTCTCAAGAAGAACCATTTCTCCATGGAAATCAACAATCTCCTTCCTGATTGTTATCATCTTCTCCATTGAATCCTTAGCTTTCGCAATTCTATCTCGAAACTCCTACGCACCACACAAATTAGAAAAGATAAAAAAAATTCAATTAATTGGGAACGAATGAATAGAATCAGATTCGAAAGTGTTACCTTTAACCTGATGATATATTCTTCTTCTTTCTCAACGAAGAAATTGTTGAATTTCTCCAACTCGTCTTCGAGCAATTGGATGAAATTGATCTCTTCTTTGGACATTCCGACGGAAAACTCATCATCGAAACGGAGACGTTTAGCGGGACGATCACCGGTTTTGGAAGGGATGAGTTTGAGTCGTTTCTTGAGCTCTTTGTAAGACAAGAACTTGTCTTGCCATTCAGGAAGTGTCTGCTCGATCTGATTGCTCAGACTCTTACCAAACTTCATTATCTATCTATCTTCTGGGAAAATGAGAATGAAGAAGAAAGAGAGGTTAGAGATATAAAAAGGGATTAAAAAGAATATTCTTAAGGTTTCTAATTAGAATATCCTTTTTTCTGTGTCTTTCTTTCGGGAGAATATCTTCTTGGCTCTTCCTTTTATTCCTTTCTTTTTTCTTTTTGGTTATCTGTGGGTGAGATTATAACACATGGACATGGCAATGTCAGTTCATCAATATCATCACTCACATACCACCTTTTATTTATCCAATATCCAAGTATTCTTACAGATTGTATTTACTGGAATATCTGATTCATTTTTTTACTGTATATATCGGAGATTTAGATATTTTATGATATCCAATTCTTTTTTCGGTATTTTCTATATATATTTTTTTTTTATTTTTTTTGATATTTTTGGATCGACAAGTTCCGATCCATAGCCAATTTCTACTACGCGGGGTAACGCGACTTGGTGGAGTCGAACTCCGGTGGGGAAGGCGGAGTCAAGTGAACTCCGGTAGGGTATTTTCTATATATTTTATAATATCTTTATATGTACTAAATTTTCATTTTATATTCTTTTAAATCATTTATTATCATATTTTTATAATTTGTTTCTTAAAAGATTATAACTGGTAATATATATATATATATATATATATATATATATATATGTCTATTTGTCCATACATTAACATGCAAATATGTAGTAGTGAATTAGTGATCTTTGATTTTTGCATGTTTAGATAATCTGATTTTTTAATAGTAATATAAAAACGAATTGGAAAGTAAAATGAAGATTGGATTTAGTAGTATTTCGGTATTTCCAATCCAAACTCTTACAGTTACAGATATCATCAAATCCGACAAAACCACGTGGGACGTTTGGTCTTCATGATCTAAGTATTACTTATCTTTCCACGATGATGATGGCATGATCAAAATAGTTCAATACTACAAGCAGTTTGACAATTTACCACTTTTGATTTTATTTTTTAAAATGAGATACAAGATTTCTAAAATACGCAAATGGTCAAAAGTAGTTGCGGTCCATGGAATATTCCTGATAGGAAAAGGGTATAAACCTCGGCATCTTTCAACTTTTTAAAGAGCACCCCCCAATGGACAATTTATTGGATTTCCCCGATTAGCGTCTTAATTCATTCATTCACGTTAGCTTCTTTTAGAAAATATCCCTAGGTCCATTTGACATTTTCTATATGCAAATTCTGCTAATTTTACAACTTGTCAATTTATATTTTGTTAAGAGTATCAGTTTATTAGTCAAAAAACCAAAGTCGAAATCCTTATGACATGGTGAAACTAAACAATATTTACTTTTTATGTGTCCACATAAGAATCTAAGCCGTATAATCTAAAAACTGTGTTGTCTCATTTCTTCTACTAATTGATACTACTACAAAGTCATTGCTGGATTGCTGGGTACATATGTAATTACTGTATGCAAGTTCCCTCCATTAGCCCAAAGTAAATGGGCCTAACTAAGTCAAAGTTCTATAATAAATAAGCCTAAGAGTAAAAGCCCACAAGTGACAAAACATATAGAACTAAGAAGAAGTGCTTATAATTAAACGGTTAAACCGAACCAAACCGAAAGTATAAAAAGAACCGATTGCCAACAACCAACCACAAGAAATAAAAAAGAGAGCAGAAAACTTTTATCAACGATCAATGGCTACCGTTGGTCAGCAGCATCTCTACCGGCCAATACTCACCGCCGTCGGAAGTGATTGCCGGAGGCTCGTAGCCACCCGTTTCCTCCCTGTTCCTAGGCGCAATTTTAACTCCCGGCTGAGGCAGATATTGAGTCTTGAGGTGGGCAAGGAAGTGGCTCCGGCATCGTCGACGGTGAACATGGAAGAGCTCGTCGGATTCTTGTACAAAGATCTTCCTCACCTCTTTGACGACCAAGGAATCGATAAAACGGCGTACGATGAGCGCGTCAAGTTTAGAGACCCAATCACTAAGCACGACACCATCTCCGGTTATCTCTTCAACATTTCTCTTCTCAAGAATCTCTTCACTCCTCGATTTCAACTTCACTGGGTTAAACAGGTCTTTGCTCACTTTCTTTTATCATTTGATTTCTTTGATTCTAGTTTGTTTTTTTAGTCCAGCACTGATGCAGCTTCTATATAGACAGGTCCATATGAGATAACTACAAGATGGACAATGGTGATGAAGTTTATGCTTTTACCATGGAAACCAGAGCTTGTGTTTACTGGTACATCAATCATGGAAGTTAATCCAGAAACTAAGAAATTTTGCAGCCATCTGGTATGTAATGGTTCCTGTGTCCTTCTTGCATAATCTCTTTTGGTTCCGTCTACTTATTACAAGTAGATGTTGTGCAGGACTTGTGGGATTCTATCAAGAACAACGACTACTTTTCTCTAGAAGGTCTTGTTGATGTATTTAAGCAGGTTGCTTTCTTGGTTACAAATTGAGTCCTCTTACAAGTGAGATATATAGTTTTTTACTTCTTCTTTTTTCGCAGTTACGGATATATAAAACACCAGACTTGGAAACTCCCAAGTATGAAATACTGAAAAGAACAGCAAACTATGAGGTCACATATCTTCCTATATTGTTCCTGTGAATGGCAAATGTGGTTGCTTACTTAAGTTGGATTTGATTGTTTGGCAGGTTAGAAAGTACGAACCCTTCATAGTGGTGGAGACTATCGGTGACAAGCTTTCTGGTTCTTCAGGTTTCAACAATGTTGCTGGGTGAGGGTTAAGTCTAAGTTTCTGTGAGTGTCCATAAATTCTTCTGGCATTTTTGTTTTGTTTTTGATAAATGTAACACATGCTAGCTTTTTTATATATGAAGCTACATATTTGGAAAAAACTCGACGATGGAGAAAATACCAATGACAACTCCAGTGTTTACCCAAACAACAGATACTGATCAACTCTCTTCTGACGTCTCTGTACAAATTGTTATTCCATCAGGAAAAGATCTCAGCAGGTAAAGCTTTATCATGGATAGTTTTTAGTTGCCATCATAGTTAATGAGAATCACAGTGTGATAAAAATGGTTTTCCTTTCCTTTGTCCTCTAGCCTACCGATGCCTAATGAAGAAAAGGTGAACTTGAAGAAGTTGGAAGGCGGATTTGCTGCAGCAGTGAAATTCAGTGGGAAACCGACAGAGGAGGCTGTCCGCGCAAAAGAGAATGAACTGAGGAGCAGTCTGAGTAAAGATGGTCTTAGAGCTAAGAAAGGTTGTATGCTTGCTCGCTACAACGATCCAGGACGAACATGGAACTTCATAATGGTATGATTCCAACCTCTAGCAATATTTGATGTCCAGTTAGAAACCACTTATTACTCTTATTTCTTTTGATTATTATCATCATGACAAACCCAAATGGTAGTTTGTTCATTGTCTTCAGTAGCGGGTTCTACCATTTTCGTCTGATCGTGGCTCTCAACTGTTCTTTATAATTATCTTGTATTTGCAGAGGAACGAAGTTATCATATGGCTTGAAGATTTCAGTCTGGATTAGCTCTAGCTTGGCCAAATGTTACCATAAGACGTATGTAGAGGTTCCGTCTACTATATATATTAAGATTGCGACGACAGAAAAGCTGTACACAACCCTACAGGCTACAACACTAAGCTTGCTCATTGTTTGTGGACAAGCATTTATCAATGAGAGACATTTGATCTCCTCTTGATGTTAAAAGAAGGGGATAATGATGAAGTTACAAACAGAGTCACTCTTTCTTGTTCACAGAAGAATACCTATACTCCATTACAAAACTGAAAGGGTCGATTGCATTTGATCTCATCATGATTCTCGATGTTACAAAAACACTCAAATATATTTTCTTCTTGAGTTGGCTTAGAGAAATTTGTTTCAGTCACTTCCCCATTTCCGAACAACGTTCTCTTTAGCAGTGGAACCTTCCTTCTTCCACATCTCTTCTGAGTTGTCACCACTCACTTTGGAAGCTTCTCTTCCCATGAGTTTGGAGCTTAGAGAAGTCAAACCTTCTCGTGTTCCTCGCAACGCATACAACAACGGGTTTAACACAAATGCAGCCATGACTTCACCTTTCGCAACCACCATATACTGCAACAACCATTAAACAATTCAAAACCATCAACAACAAAAAAATCTTGGAAAGCATTATTCATGAAGACCAAATATAGTTAGTTAGTACGCAAAAGCATACCACGACTAGTATTGCTAAGAGGGTAAAGGCAATCTGTTGTGCTTCATTCCAGAAATGGCCGCCACTGAACCAACCGCCACCTCCAAACCAGCCTCCTCCTCCTCTACCATTTCCACCACCGGATTCTTCTCTTTTCTTGATCTCTTTGTCCCACTTGTCAAACTCAGTTTTCTTCTCACCAAGAGCGCTTTCCAATGATTTACGAGCTTGCTCCTGCAAAATCAAGGAAATCGAACAGCACAGTATTAGCCACCAAATCAGGATGCATCCTCTTCTCCGTCTCTAAAGCAGATCAACTCTCAGCCAAATAACCGCTCTGAAATCTAACTCACAACGGATCAAATATGCTACGCTCAGTCCTAGGCTAGATACAGTAGACATATAGCTAAGAGTTGAGCTGCTAAACTTGTTCAAAACCTAAACTCTTTTCAAAGTCCATCAATAGGATCATATAAACAACAATTTCAGTAGGACCGTCTAATCATGAAGAATTCTCAAGATAAAAACAATCTTAGCTGTGAGTAACAAAGCAGAATCAATCGGTTAAGACCTTACAAAAAGAGACGGGCAATTCGATCCCAACTAAGGGTCTGATTGGGTTCAGCAGATTCTACAAGATTTGTCCTTTGAACCAATCAATGGAAGTAAGTAAGAACACTAACCTCTCTCTGGTTGCCGCCGGAGAAAAGACAAGAGAATCGTGCCTTGCTTTTGGTAATTGTGGTTCGAAGAGAGAAGACAGAGTTGTGGTCAAGAGTCCGGTGGGAACTACAGAGGTGGAGAAGAGGCGAGGAAGACGAAGAAGGGTTTATCAGCAGTCTCATTACGTGTCCCATCTCTATCCTCTCCCTTATCCCACCACAATGCTTTTTCTGTTTTTCACCAATTTCTCTTACATTTCTTGTTTCTACTGACTGATAACATTTGCTTATCAATCTTTCTGTTGTTTTTTTTTTTTTTTTTGGATTTTAGTGACAAGAGATAAATAACTAGAATAAAATTTTAAGAAGAGAATGTTGTTTAACAAAGAAAAGAGAGAACATAAATATTATCTTTTAACTGTGGAAGCTTCTTGATCTTTTGGTTAACCAAAACTCGAGTGTTTCTACACCAAATGTTTGATTCTCACAAAATACAAATTATTACAAGATTAATTTGGTTATTCACAGGTCATTTGTCAGATATCCAATGAATTTTGATTTTACCCACGACAAATGTCTTACCCGTATTCTTTTACTCCGCTTGACCATAAAATTTACCTTTCGTTGAAACTTTGAATTTGAAGGAGACCAATAAGAACAATTTTCACTTCAATGAACTTGGAAATGAAACAAGACATCAACGAATCTCACAGACCAAAAAACAGTAAAGAAAAAAAAAAGGATCCTACAGATCAATGAGTTCATCTATCTATATATACCTCAAACCAAACCGGCATCCCCTTCAGTTTTCAGATTTATTCACTTCTAAAGAACAAAAGGGTTTCACTTTCCCGAATAACTATCTCAGTTCTCTACATATCAATCTATGCGGAGTTCGTCGTTTTGAGGCCTGAATTTGATAATCATGAGATGTGGGAACACAACAAGGCAAGCCATGAACAATGTGAACTGCAAATCACAAAAACAAAACCAATATATTCATAACCAGATCAGATTGTCTACAAGGATGAGTTGTATTATGAACTGATATCATACCAGAAGGGGGAGAGTCAAGAAGCCCCATATAGGCCACAGAGCAAAGGAGAGCCTGCATTTTGCAAATTTGTCACACATAACTAATAGGATGATACTCCAGGTAGTTTCTGATGACTAAAACATGTGATTTACTTACAGGCCAAATGAAATGAGGCCGAGCAGGGTGATGAAAGGCAGAGCTGAGATACTCCACAGTTCCCATTTCTCATCAAACCTTCTCATGCTCCACGATAACATGCTTTCGTAGATTATGATTATAATGTTCACAGCTATTCCCAACATCCCGAAATACAAAGGCATCCTGGAAACAAGGCCAATGTGTGCATTATGTTTATTAAGGTTTTCAGCAAGAACCATCACCCCAAACAATGTTGAAATCTCATTAAACTACACCAAACCATGACAAAAGAATCTGCATTTTCCAAACCATTTTTAACAATAAAGGCCTTCAAATAGTATCCACCTTACTTATGCACATATCCTTGTTAATCCTCAAGACTCATATAAGGGTTTTGGGGAAAGAACCCTAGACCTTAAAAGAATCTCTTCAACAGATATGAGAATATTAAGAAGACTATTCGCTTAATATTTGATATATGACCAGTTTCTGGTATTCCTGCTTCTACAGATTCAACTTTCCTTTCCGTAAATTATTCAAGGTTTATCCTATTTTGATCTTCTACAACAAACCACCATAATCAAAAATATACTGAATTCAAACGTCTATGGCCATCCTCAAGTTTAAAGTGACCCAAATATGTTTTCTTTTTAGCCAAACATCTTACCACAAGCAATAATCCTAAAAAAAGGCAAAAGGAAAAGAGCCCTTGAAGAAATGTATTACCTTTTGATCCGAGCATCGTGTAAGAGGATATGTATCATATTGGAGTGCCTGTCTCCAAAATAGACAATGAACACAGCAGATGCAATCCAAAGCACATTCTCCAAAATCTCAACCCACGTTTTACTTCTAGGATTCTCTAAAGAAAAAGGCTGTGGCCTAGAGCAAGCATCATCCTCAAGATCATCACCACCAGATGCATAACCTTGGCTATGTCTTTGCCTAATGTACCCACCACCACCAACTGGAGTTCCACCAGACATGTTCCTAGAAGCTAAAAAAGACACTCTAGTACACAATAATCCCACCTCCTTAAGCGACACAGAACCCTAAACAAACCTTAGACTCCTCTATGTAAAAGTCGAATAGGTCAATTCAGGCAAGTAAAAGATACCAAACTTTGAAATTCGTCTCATTACAAGCGATCCCCAAAGTCTATGCTTGCGTCACCAACGAGACTGCAACGAAATGAATTCAATTCAAGATCATCGAGAGATCGAAAACGGGAATTCAGAAACCCTGAGCTGAGAAAAAACCACAAATTACACTAGTAGATACGGAAAATTCGATCGGAAGAAGAAATCAATAACCTCGAAACTGAGAGCTCGTCGCGAACGAAAGCTTGGTGAAAACCCTAAGAATCGATCCCAATTCTCTAAGAAATTTTCTACAAAAAGAAAGCTTTTTTAAGTTCCTTGAAGACTCGAGCGTTGCGAGAGAGTCTGTCTGGTAACACAACCGTTTTCAAAGAAGATTTTACCAAAACGACGTCGTACTCTCTCTTTTTTTTTCCTTGGTCCATTAAATTGCGATCTTTCTTTTTTTTCAGTTAGACAGTTACGGTTTAGGAAAGATATCGACATATAGATAACAATTTTTGTAACAAGAATCACATGAAATTTGTGGTTTTATTCTCCAACTTGGAAGACTAATTAGCTTTATCAAACTTTTTCAAGTTAAGTGAATCAAATATCTTTGAGTCAAGTTTGTAATGCACCAACAATCATCGTGATCTAAGTTATTCGATGAGAGTTCTGGTTGTTTGAGAAACGACACGTCTTCTTGCAAATAAGACTATATAGTTAACTAATTATTTTCACAAATTAGTTATGGATTATTAGTAACTAAGGTAGTAGCAATTAACCACTAAATATTTGTAGCCATGTGTTTGCTATATAAATACTCACATAAACATGACCAACCAATTGTCAATTGGTTTGTAAAATTTAGTTGTCATTTATGGTAACTACTCCCTCCGTTTCATATTAAGTGTCGTTTTATGTTTTCAATGCAGATGTTTGGTAAAATTTCTAGTTTTGTCCCTACTAATTTAATGTACTGACCAATGAAAAAATAATAAAATATATAGATAATGGGTAAAACTGAAAATTTAATTATTTTTTTAATATTTGTGCAAAAACTTTAAACGACACTTATTATAAAACAGAAGGAGTACTTCGTAACCCATTGTCACGAATACATAGTGGCTATATGTAATTAAATTCGATTTCACTACGGATTTACCCCTTGACCACAAAAAGTTATGTATGTGGCTAATACATAATTTTATATTGAATTCAATTATGTTTTGATGTACTACCATAATTGCTATAGATTTTTAAAACCCCACTATATATAAACCAAACAAATGCTCATAAAATTCTTGATTAAAAACAAATTGTGTAAGACCCCTACTAAACTTGGTTGGAAGTAAAAGAGCCAAGAGGGTCCAGACCATATATGACCGGGTCCTGATTTGCTGAGCATAAATCGATAAGGTTAACGACTATAAAATATCGGATTTGGGGACCCGGAAAACAGTCTTTGAAAGTGTTGTTGTCAACAAAACAATTAACTTATTAAACAAATATCCCCAATATATGTTGATTACACTTATTGACAAGAAATAAGAGGCTAATTTCACTTGACTTAGATAGAACAAGCCACATGGTTTGATTCTATAAATCACCCTATTCACTTTTTAAACCACATTATTTGATTTGTCTCCGCTCTTATTATTGTCTTGGTGTTGGTACGGCCGAGTTAATTTATATGAAAAATTTGACTACGACCTGCAATGGTTTGTTATTAGTGTCGACGTTATTCTAATCTAATAAAGCTAATCAACAACACAAAGAGATACTAATTACCTCTAGCCTATAATCCTGATCCTCTCAATCTTCTGTGTCGATTTTACTCGCCGGAAATCAGCGCGACATTGCCACTTTAACTAGCTCCAATTGAGAGGTACTGCCCCCACTGATTCTGATCTAGGATTATTGGTCTATTTTCATGTTTGAAGTTTGTGTTTTTTTTTTTTTTAATATCTGGAAGTTCAAGCCCGAATGTCCTACATCTATCAGAGGCGGGATCCACACCAGATTAAATTCAACTGAGAATAGATCTCTCCCAACGGGTGTCGAATCCAGTACCTCCACCTGAGAGATTTATTACTGGACCAACACAACGTTGGTTGAAATTTGTGTTTTACCATAACAATTCAATAAAAACGAACATTGTCCAAAACTATAGTAACCATCATGAACCTTTTTAGACGCGGCTAGGCATAGTATGCACATGTGACGCTAGATTAGTTAATATTGTGTACACTCCTATCTAGTTCCGATTTCAATTATTATCCTTTTGCAGACCAAATTAAAATAAAACAAAAAAAATCTCATAAGAAAATATTATAAATGGTACGCATAGGATGCACTCGATTTGATTATTAAATTATTAGTTATTATATTGATGTATAAATTTACATTGTCCTATATATTCAATTGCAAACTCGAGAGAATAATAATAGAGAGGACTCATTTCTGTCTATGACTCTTCGGTATAAATAACGCATATGAGCCACTAAAGAGTTTCCACAAATATTTTTACGCAAAAAATAACAAAAATGAATGAAGAGAGACCCAAAAAGTCGAAGAAGAAAAGTCTCATGAACTTCTACAAATTCTCCATCACTTCGTCGAAACACTCACTTATAAACCCTAAATCCAAACCAAAAATCCCGATCACGCCATCAATATGTCAAGAAGAAGTAGAAGAAAAACCAATCGTCCAATCAAATAAAACACAAAACCATGTGATGAGAGACATCTTCGAGTTAGAGACTACTTGTAGTAGAAATAATGAAAGAAAGAAAGGCGGTGGTGCGGCGGAGGAGGGGAGGAAATCGGTGTCTCACGTGGAGAGGGATACGACGGCGAGGATAGAGGCAGCGGCGGAGATGTTGACGGTGAGGATACTAGCTGCGGACATGCCGGGGTTTATGCAGGCACATGCGTTTAGGTGTGCGAGAATGACTTTAGATAGTTTGGAGAAGTTTAGTTCGAAGCACATGGCTTTCAATCTCAAGAAGGTAACCCTTTTTTTCTTCCTTTTTGCTTCTTTTTTTGTCCTTTTCTCCTATTTAAATCATATATTTACATATGCATGAATATTTTATATATCACTAGAGGCTGATTTTCATGAAGAAAAAGACAAAAGGAAAAATTGATAATACCAAAACTATAACAATGTCTCTAAAATATGATTTTTGTTATTTTATATGATATCTTTTAAAAAATTTGTAAAACAAAATTTGCATTTAACCAATCATTATAGTCTAGTTGTTGAAATTACATCTTTTTTTTTGTTTTCATGTTTGACACTAAGCACTTTCTGACTAGATTGGAGTTCGGTCTATGATTTATCCGATTTAACCAATCATAATGAGTGTTTGTTTTGTGTTTTAGGCTCAACATTTTACAGTTTTAGAACGTCTCTAAAGTTTGTTTGTCCTTTAAAATTATTGCATACGATTAATAGTTGGAATGGGCATACAAATTGATGAGACAAAGATAGCTTATATTGTTTTTTTCGTTCAAGCCACATATAAACGAACAACTAGGCAGAAACTCATTTCCAATTCCTAAAACATCTAAATTACTAATTGTCGCTAAGTCATTAAAAGAATTCACATGACTACAAAGTATGATAGGAAAATGACACATCATCTCTCCTAAGTCTAAACCAATTGCTTTTTTTCATGATATTTGATGTCAATATCAAACAAATGACCGGTGTTATATGGGCTGCAGAATATTGAATTATATAAGTTTTGGATCTCAAAAAAAATGGATGGAAGAGTGATTACTAGAATTAAATAAATAAAACAGAGTGATGGGGAAATGGTCCAGCTAATGTTGAAAAGGGCAATGACCCAACAGAGCCATGTGGTCCTCTTCCACCCTTATCCCTTTTTTGCACTTATTTTTTTGGATCCCTCTTTTGTCTCTCTCTCTCGATCTTCACGTTAAGGATTATTGACTACAAGATCTTTTGGAAATTATTTTGTAGACATTTTGTAAAAGAAGTCTGACATTTTGATGATATCGTTGAAATTTAACCATTTTCTTGTAAAAAGAATCAAATTTTCAAGAAAAAAAACTGTTCATATGTTTTTAATGTAAGTGAGATATGAAACATTATGCAGGAATTTGACAAAGGGTATGGACCAGCATGGCATTGCATAGTGGGATCAAGTTTCGGGTCGTTTGTGACACATTCGACAGGTTGTTTTATTTATTTCTCAATGGACAAACTCTACATTCTCCTCTTCAAAACCAAAGTTCGTCCTGCTTCTCCCCATTGATTTTGTTTCCTTTATCTATTACATATATATTGCTTTTAGGTTGTAACAAACTTATACCAATCGTAATCAAAAGGCATACTGTAAATTCAAAATTACTATGTTTTCTTCATATATAATTTATAAGTTGGAATGAACAATTATTCTTACCCTATGTGGGTCGAGTTTTTTTGGATTATATCTTAATAAATGGCCTACAAAAACTTCATCTCGGAAGATCTATTTCCTTAAAGATTGAAGTAATTATATTGTTCCTCGAATTACAATCGGTTATCATCAACAACTAAGTTGTTTTTATTAAAGATTCGAATGTGAGCATAATATAGAGTCTCAACTTCGAGAGATTTTGTGGAAAACTAGTAGTAGGGGGAATGTTGGTCAATCATTCATTTCCGCCTGAAGTAGCTGATAAGGACACCACTAGCGATTGGGGGAAAAATCCTAGAAGGAGCTTAATGTAGCATAAACAAGCCTTTGTACTTGATTTGGACCACTACCCCTCCATAGATGAGAGGTCCTGTTGAGTCTTATATAGCACCAAAGTTTCATTCCCAAGAGGACCTCTCATACATTAACGAGTAATAGAAGCGAAGTTTTTGGGGCAACAAAAGAGGTTTTTTTAAAAAAACGTAGCATCGGGAATATGATCTTCATCGCACAACTAACTTCAAGAGTGAGCATATTCGGGCCAAAACCTAAGTATCCAAAGTAGTCCACCATGCACAATGTTAACACATGTTGGCATCGAAACCGGGGATGTAGCGAGTTTATATCCTTGGTCTTAGAACCAATATCACCTTACTACCACGTGCGGGTTTACAAAGAGAAGTTCTTGTCAAGTTTTCCTCTTTCTAAATTTTTGTTTTGTGAATTCAAGAAAACAAGAAGGCTAGAAATTCAGAAACATCAGAATTTACCAGTTTTTGTACCAGATATTTTCTCCAGGCAAGTTTTTTTAAACATGATACGTAAGTTTACCTCTGTGTACATAAAGAAATACCATTCAAACTATTTTGGTCTCCGGCTTTAGCACCATGACTAATTCCAAAACAGATTTGCAGAAGACTACTTACTTGATTGATAAATCGATGAGAACACACAAACAAACACATTTTTGTAAGGATCAATCTATAATAAGCCTTCTCTTGAAACCAAAAGCCATCCTTAGCTTTATCCATCAAGGTTTCGAAATTTTTCACATAAGAGAGAAGAACATAATCAAATCCTACATATGATCTCAACGTTGCAATTACGTTAATTAATTACCCTTTAAGATAATTATGTACTTCCACCGCTTGATCTTCTCCTTCCTCTGCTTCTTCTTCTCCTATCAGACGAAAACAGAGAACAAAAGCCACAACCAACGGAAGATATTTTAGGAGAAGGTGGATCCAACGCTGGAGATATCTCCCCCAATATTCCACCATGGCCACATCCTCCGTCTGATGCGCTACGTTTCACTGTCGCCGCCGTAGCCGCCATTGATCCGTCACGATGATCGTTGCACCGGTCTTCTTGTCTTTCGTCATTGCGAATTTCTCCGCTCAAGAACCTGTCGTTCCAGATGAGTCCTGACGATCCTTGTCTCCTAAAAGACGCCGTTGATCTCTGTAACGCCATATTTCTCTTCTTCTCTCTTTCAATGGAATGTGAATTTTGTGGAGGAAGAAAACGGAAAACAAGAATAATTATGGTTTTTTTCTTCTTTCTATTACCTTTTTTCCTTTTTGGAAGTTTTCTTTTTATTTTGGTTTGAATTGTTAAGTTGGACGTTTTCTTTTCATAATTATTTTCTTATTATTGTTTCACATTTGTTAAATTAACAAATTTTAGTAATGAGATCATTGTTTACCAAAATTAGCTAGGATACCCAAATTTACTGTTTGATACCCTAATGTCTGAAGAGATTTTGATTCGTCAGTTGAGTGATTATCAAAAATCACCTCTTGAGAAAAGAAAAAAAAGTGTCTATCATCTCCGGCCAGCTACATATATATATATCCGAGTGCTCCAAACTTGGACATTTTCATCGATCCCATCCGTACCTAAATGTTTTCCGGTGGCTTCGATATTCTCAAAATAAATCTTAATTATACGTTCTAGCGGCAACAATTTAAAGAGAACCCATACTTGATGGATAATATCGCACTTTTTTATAGATATATTCTGGTTCATTTAAAAAACGAGTAATATTGAAAAAGTTGTTTTTAGTTGTTTTTAGATAGGAAACCTTCCGATATTGTATCACACACACTAGCTAAGAGTAAAGCTTCTGCATGGTATGCAACACATGTGTCCACTTTTTCACCTCGAAAGAACCTTTCTCCACCACTGAGATGACAATGGAGTATGGACGTGGTTGGTGTAATGTTTTTTTTTTATATAGGTGAAGGTTTGATTTGCATCAAGAATGAAGCGTTGATGTTCCTATCATAGGAAGTAAAAGTTAGAATTTTCAATTTCGGAACTAAAAGCGTTAGTATGGACACTGAAGAGTTGGTACGTAGTCTTTCACACAAATTGTTCGAAACGGATGAAAATGACATCAACTCTCTCGCATATTGACTTTTCACGTCTTAAAGATAAGTTTTTGCATCTCAAAATTTGCTTTATTTTGTTCATCTCAGATTGTTTTCATTTCTAAAGCTGATTACTACTTTACTAGAAATGGTCCGTAGTCGTAGAAGAACTATTGAGTGACAACATTTCTTTAGGTTTATATATCTCCGGTTTGGCTAACCGAACATCTCCTTTAATTAATTTGACAAAAAGTAAACGAAGCCCAAACCCATTTAGCTTTTGACTTGTGTGTTGTTGTTCTTCTTCCACGCTCTCTCTGCCTGTCTTAATAATATTCCCTCACCAACTCGTTTCATTTGTGGGCAAAGCTTCTTCGATTTTCCTTTCAGACCAATCGGGTTTCGCATCGGTCAGGTTAGTGTCGATCTCAAAGTAGATGATAGTCTTAGGAGCAATCAAACAACAAGATTGGTTTTAACCTAATTGTTCGGTTTATATGTCGTAGACACTTTTACCTAAATTTGTCATCATATAGCCATAAAAAGTTTTTAGATTGGGAATCGAAATGAATTGTGATGTGTAGGTAATTATGGAGTGGTTTTTGTCGAGAAACCGTAAAATTCGAGGGCTCTGGGTTTCTTAATTTGCTTTTGATATAAGATTATTTGATGTATTTTGATTCTCCAATCAAATCCTGTATATGCTTTTCTTGCATCTACATGGTCTCTGTTTTGAAGTTAAAGACATAAAAAAAGTCTTAAAGATGATGAATCTGTATTGACCAATTTACTCATCACACTTGATAGTTGACATTCATAAAAAACTAGTTATTGAAATCATGAGTCTTGTTTAGGTTTCACATATTTTTTTTTTGAATTTCAGATGGTGGATTTAGCATGTCTTGGATAATGTAGATTAGCTTTCACATTTCTTGATTTCTGAAGGTGGAAATTGTATCCATATACCGTGAATTTATTTGCAGGCGGATATGGCTACATCAAGGTTCCAAGCATTCTTGAACAGTCCAGTCGGCCCTAAAACAACTCATTTCTGGGGGCCTATCGCTAATTGGGGTTTTGTTGCTGCTGTATGTTTTCTCTTTCCATGTCTTTGATTCAATTCATCTTTTTGGGTGATCCATGTATTCATTATAGTTCTGAAATTGATTCACTTTTAGGGTTTGGTGGATATGCAAAAGCCCCCTGAAATGATTTCTGGAAACATGTCCTCAGGTAAGAATAAGAGACCGCCCTGATGTGCAACATTATTAGCTTAGCCTCTCACGTCATCTTTTGATTTCCTTTGTACAGCGATGTGCGTTTACTCTGCATTGTTCATGAGATTTGCCTGGATGGTGCAACCACGCAACTATTTGCTACTTGCGTGCCATGCATCAAACGAGACTGTACAACTCTATCAGCTCTCACGTTGGGCTAGAGCCCAGGGGTAAGTTCTATTTCAGAGAATCATATGTCCGAGTGTAGATTATATACGTGAACTAATGCACCATAACGTGAATCACTAGCCTTTGGAAACTCGAAAACAAGTTCGCTTCGCTTTTAGGATCATTGTTTTGAATTAAAAAGCTTAAAAAATAAAACTAGCAGGTTTCTGAATCCTATGTACACAATTTATGCAATTGCTTCTTAACTTTAACCTGTTTTCGTTGCTCACTCGGGAAATTCAACAAATGTGTTTAATGACAGGTATTTATCCTCCAAGAAAGAAGAGGAGAAACCATCTCAGTAAACCAAAATGAGGAAAGGTTTCTTCGAAGCTACTTCAGAATTTGTTCTTGGGAATTACTGAATCCATCCATTTGATTTTCTTTTGAAACGTGTTTGTATTGTGTCCCCAAGCTATGGTTACTTTACTTGTTGGATCGTTCACTAACATTATCTCTTTTGTTTTTATAAGTAACCGCTTGTAATAAAATTTGGGACCAGTCGCCAGTCCACATTTCGTGTTCATTACAAAGAGGTTCACACATGATAAATATGCCCCAACTCCTGAAGTCCTTGACTTAACCATGTTGCAGTGGTCGTCTATGGTTTGTAACTTTGTATGTTCCATTTTAAGTATCATCTGACAATTTCAACAGTAAAAAGTATCTTCAACGTTTATATTGGATTGCTACCATTGCTTCACCTGCTTTAAACACAACTAATGCATATTAGCTAGTAAAATACGCTACTTTCTTCCATAAGACACAGAGATGGATTGATTTGTAGGTTAATCAGAGCACAGTTGAACAAGAGAGGTCTAATCCAAGGTGAAAAATTCTGCTGCTTGAGTCTGGATCTTTCTCCACGCACAAGAAATTAGTCAAAACACAGACACGGATACAAATGCACAATTCTCATCTTTCGAACCGTATTCAATATCTTGTTCGCATAGAAATTATCATCAAAATCAAGTTCCCGCTATTACCTGCAGAGAACTGACTAATTGATCTGTTTTGCTTTGTTTATTTTCAAAGCTTGGTAGCTCGACTGTCAAGCTCACTCTGCATCAATTAATGTTTGCTTGGGGCCACTTTATTACATGAAACGAAACCTCCTTGAGATCAGAAATAGTCCTCTCAGAATTTGAACACCATTTGCTCTGTGTATCCGAGTTCCTTGAGTATCCCCTTGACCTGCAGTAAAACAATCCAACGAGATATTAGACATGTACTTCTCTGCATCTTGCCATTGATTGAGTTCTTTTCTCCAACTAATTACAGCGACTAATTGCAAGACTTGTTCAACTTCGTGTACCATCAAATCATCAAATTTGTCCTTTAAGTAATAACAAAGACTACACTTTTAAGTTATAACAAAGACTATGCTATTAAGGGCCTACTCACAGCCTTTCCTTGAATGCATTTCCGAATGGTCCATAAGCCCTCTTTCAGTTCAACAATGTTTATGTGTTTGTTGCTAATTGCATTTAAATCAATAGCATCAGAGATATCCGATATGGGTATAGATAGTTTCAGCACAAAGGTTAGATAATTTTTAGTTATAGGTTATTAGATTGTCAAGAAAAAAAAGATGTTGATGAATTGGAACAAACCTCTCCTTGTGACCAGTCTGGAGCTTTGCCTCCAGATATATGCTCCATCATCCCAGGAGGACCACATACCTGAATTAATGGTGAAGCATACCACATTTTAATTAATCATGTATGTTTTGGTTCAATCCATAACTTGTTCATCAGTACATCAAATCCTTAATGCCTTTTTTTTACATCCTCGTTGTCATTCTCTCAGAACAGTGTCCCATTATGGTTCGAAAGACGGTAAGGTAACTTACAAGGATAAGAGTATCATCCGTAGGAAGAGGTAAGCCTTTCAGAGCCATATCCTTTGAAATGTAACCTACTCCTCCTTTCCAGTTTTTAGTAGGATTGTCAACAGTATAGAATATCTGTAGATTATGAACATCAAAATCTTTTTGAGAAAAGTGTGTATGCTAATAGTAACCAGCTAGCAAACTAATCAATTGACAAATCCAAGGGAACTCTACCTTCAAATTTGGGTGGTTAGCCTGAAGAACATCAAGCTTCTGCTTCAGAAGTATATCATCTGGAGAAACATTGGCATAAAGCAATGATATCTGTGCACACAGAGAAATCGTAAAGTTCCATGTTAACAAACTATTTTTTTTATGAAAAACTTCAGCTGATTTTGAAATGAATTGTAGAGGATGATAACACTTTCAAGATCCTTGGTCAACAAACCAGCACTAGAATAGGAAATACTTCGGAAATTCGTATGCACAGATCACATAACTTCTATATTGGGTGGAAAAGATCATTTCCGGTAAAAAATAAGATAATAACAAATTGGTCACCTGCGTGTTGTCCTCGGGATTCTTCACAATGGCATCAATCACCTGAAGCATTGGAGTAATCCCACTTCCACCGGCAATCTTCAAGTATTTTAAAAAAAGGGATAGCCAACACAAAAATCACAGGTGAGAATGTAACTTGTCAGCATAATACAAAAAATAACTACAAGTCAGAAAATCATGCTACTAAACAGGAAAGAAGAAATGCAACCACATGAAATATTTGAATTTATAAGGACTTGCATGTCAGCAAATGAGAGCAGGGAGCAGGCGAAATAATTCCATTCGCTGAGAGGAGAAAAAAAACACTTCTAGTGCAGTTCGTATCTTCAAAGTTCTACTTCCATATAACAAAACAGATTGTATGCAAGAAACCTTCAGTAAAGTTGGTTGTAACAAGGGAATAAGGGTATACCATGCCAATATGTTTCTTCATATTCGGCGAATATTTGAACTTTTCAACGGGTCTACAAGGAAAGGTAATGTTAAACACCATATGAAATTAAGAGCTATCACCAACCGTAGTAAAAGACTAACAATAGTCAAGAAACTATACCCTTTTACTTCCAACACATCCCCCGGTTTTAAGCTGGCAAAATGCTGACTCATTTTTCCGTCTGGATATACCTGCAAAAAGCAATGAACTACATCACAATAAATTCAAAACAAGTCGAGGAAATTAATGCAATCATAACACATCTAGTTCTTTGCTAAAAAATAGCAGCAAAAGTAGAGAGATGCACATGTATATTAACAGGACATTCATACCTTAATCAGTAAATCAAAATAGCCCTTAGCCTCTGGGTCTGATATAGGAGTGTAACTGAGATAATTCACAAATATAAGATAAATAAGGTCAAAAGAAGCCTCACGTACATAAGTATTTTGTACAAGTATTATAGAGCTTTATCGTAGAAAGAAAGAAAATTAATGATCTGGAAGATTTATTTGCAAGATAAGTTTGTATACTGAGCAATCCAAAAAGTTAATATTTAGAAGGCAGATACCACAAAAGTGATAACTTCAGCAGCTCAAATTTAGAATCAAGAAACCTATTCTCAGAGATATGGCTGCTTAAAATCTGCATCATTTCCAAGCTTTCTATATATTTTCTTAATGACAGCTATCAGCCTTCAGATTTAAGTTGCAGACAATGGCACAATGCATAAACTATAAATGCAAAAGTTACAGATACGCTAAGAGAACAAAAGAGAAAAATGCAACAAATAGGCTAGCAATGGTTGTCCAGACATGAAATACAACGCAAAGCTGGTAAAAAGTATTTAGTTGAACTTACGGTCTAATGACATATTTCGTTTTCCCTTCAGCATTATAGCCTAAAGGAGCCCTGTACATACAAAACGGAAAGGTAAGATTTACCACTTCAGTTGAGAAAATTCTCACAAGTCGTCCAAAATAAATTTGTTTTACTGTAAAGTCGAACGAGTGTGACCACAACATACCTTGTCAGGAGACAAGAAGCAACATGTAGACCCAATTGAGCTGAGGGGTCAAATGAGAACCTGAATTTCAAGGCAAAGCCAAAACAAGAAACCCAAAGACTATCATTATGACCTATATAACTATCGTTCAAGAAATGGACCTAAACACAGGAGTATTGCGGAAAAAAAAAAATCTATATGAGCTTAAGAGGATTTCAGAGATAGTAAGAAACAACTTTTGACATTCAAACTGCGGACTCCAACCATATCAATAGCAGGAATGCCCATTACTAAGATATGGATATTTAAGCTTAGCGAGTTAAACAAACTAGATCACTTGGAACTTTTACCAAAATGACAGTCAATTATACAGATGTTTCATAATGCATACCCCATATGCAGTAAGGGAAATACATAATACTTAGTACGTATTGGCAATTACACAAGAAAGGATTGAGAAAAAAACAAGCATTCACCAGAATGTTATCCACTACCAAATCACATATCACAATCATATACAAGTTCTCTAGTCACATAACTATTTGCTATTGTGACAGATCATATATATATATATATTTTATTTGTAAATTATTCATTATGTGCATTAAAGGCGCGTTAACACAATTAAGAGCACTTCTGTCACCCCAGTTACAATATTCAAATGAAAGTCACAAAGGTATACCTAGTGATCAGATAATGGAAAACTCGAAAAGTGTTCATGAGTCCAAAGCCAATGTGTGTGTGTGTGTTTCAGTCAAAGTATTAGTAAGTCAAGCGAAAACCTGAACAACTGAGTGTTGTGGCTAACTCTAGCAGTGTCTTGAAGCTTGAACTCGAGCCATTTATCAGGGTTTAGAGCTGAAATCACACAGCACAAAAAAGAATAAACATCAAATATGATCATAGAGCAGGCTAGTAGCAAAAACGTGTCCGAGCTTCCAAAGCAAAAATAAGGAAAAGGCGTAGTTAGAGAATGCGCACCGGTTTTGGGTCCTGTCTCTTCCTTAGCTTGATCCAGATAAACCTGAGATCATAAAGCACAAACAAAAATGAATCTATATGTTTCGTATTGTTCGTCGAAACTCGTCTGATTGAATGTGAAATACCACAAGCACACACCACACACACATTAGACGAAATGCAAGAGAAAGGTATCAAAGCATAAAATAAACGGAATTCGAAATGATGGATTATTACATAGAGAGAAAAAATTCATTTAGAGAGAATACAGAAGAAAAGTTCACCAGATTGTTTCCAGATGTTAAGTAGTAATAGGAGAACCCGCCGGAAAGTGCCGCGATTGCACCGGTAGAGAATCGGAAAGCGCCAGAACCAGATTTGCTTTGAGATCCAAATGCGACAGGGAATGTAATCGGAGCTGACCTAGCGAGTCGCCGGAAAAAGGAAGTGGCCATGATGGTTGTAGATCTCGGAGAAAGAACAAAATGATTTTGGAGGACGAGCTAGGGGGTTTTAGAATCTGGGGAAGGAGAGTCAATGCTACCCTATGGAGATGTGTACTTAAGAACAGTGGAATTCTCATTTGTTTTAACTTGAAAATATTAGTACTTCTTAAAGATAAATTTGTTTGAATTTTTTTTTTTTACAACAGAAACATTAGGAAAACAAAAACACCAACTAATTTAGAACACAGCCATAAAAGAAACAATCTATTAAAACCCAAATTTATTGAGGTAAATGTTTGATTTTTTTATTGACATAAATTGTCGTTGCAAGAAATAACCTCGAGCACTAAGGAGTAATTAAGGACTCATCAATTCAAAATATGTATCAAAACCATAGCAAACGTTTGGTTTCTAAGCATCAAACTCATCTTTCTAACTACAAACTTGAGAGAGAGACACCGGCTTGTTGTTTTGCGTGAACATCGCCAGGAGCTTGATCTACCCATGCTGAGATCAGGTGGTGCGCGATGGCAAATGGCCCTGGGATAAACATAGGAGCAAGCTCACCGCTTTCCAGATTGAAATCAGTTGATAGACTCTGGCTTCTCTCCACACCTTTACAGATCTGCTCTACCTTTGCAGCCGCTGTTCTTTGCGCCTTCCTGTATTCTGCAACCGCCAGTGCTTTCTTCACCTCTTCTCTACTGTGCCATTGAGCATCTGCGCAACAACAACAATAACAAGAATACATATTAAGAATGTGATGGATTTTAACAAAACTCTAGCACTCCAAGTCCAAAGAGTTGTTGGAAGTTTATATATACCTTCTAACTCTTCTTTGTCTACGTTTATGTCAAGCGTCTTGGCGAAAGCAAAGAACCCCAACATCAACTGGCATGGCATGCTACTTGGTCCCACTACAATTTCAGAAAACCATATTCTCGTTCATGTTAAACTTGCATTTCAAAAAAATTCTAAAGACCTTTTGGCATCAAAATCAAGGCTCCTAACTACCTAAAGTTACAGCAGGGGCAACCATTGAAGAGGTATACTAAGGTCTATACATGGAAAAGCATGAAAACAGAATGTGAAAGCTTTCGGTAGACATAATATTAATAAGGTTAAATTGACGAAGTTTCAAATCTATACATTAAAGAACTACTTTGCTAAGAGATGCAAATTTGCTCATAACGAAACACTCCTTTCTATTATGCTCTATCACAAAATTGCTCATCAATAGCACTATTCAATGAGGAGTATATGGTAAAGGACTTATAACACTCATAAATGCATACATTGCACATTAGCTAAAGACAAAATTTGTAGGCCATAAGCTAACATACATAGATAGAATAATATAAATGGGAGGTAGCAAAACCCCAAACTAAAAATCATACTAATTTCTTAACTATTCAATTACCAGGCCAAGGCTGAGAGCTGTGATAGACAACTTCTCCTACTTCAATGCCTGTCTCTTCCCATGTTTCTCGCCTCACAGCCTCTTCTAAGCTTTCCCCTGGCTAGCAGAAGCATCATAGACTATTATACATACAAAACTCCATGCAATAGTAAAATAAGTGGAATGGCCTATCCAGGGGAGTTGGATGAAAAAAAACAATGAGAAATTTATTATTCAATATCGAATTGAGATATCTTAGCAATGAGGTTTTCATACCTCAATAAATCCAGCTAAACAGCTCCACATTCTCGGTACATATCTAGATTGCCTGCTTAAAAGTGCGCGATCATTTTCTCGATCAATAACTAACATTATAACCACCTGTAATAGAGGGAGGACCAATCAGCCAGAAGTTCCACAATGCCATACTCTTAGGGGATATCTACAAAATGTAGGAAGCACCAATATACCGGGTCAACACGAGGATAGACCCTCTTTCTGCATGTTTCGTTTGAGCATTGTTTTCTCCTTCCTGCTTCCTTTGGAACAGTTTTACCTCCACAAGATCCACAAAATTGTGACGCGATGTGCCATTCAAGTAATGCCCTGGCCTGTCATAATATAGTTAGGTATCAGCACCAATACGAAGGTATGTTGGTTGAGATCAATCTTATGGGAGAAAAGTGAGAAGCTGCCCCTAAGCTCAACTTTCGTAAACCATATCATTACTTGATTGCCTCACACCAAATGATTCCATCACTAAACCCAACAAACACAAGTTTAAGCATGATTGAAATGAAATGCATCTGAAAAAGCTAACATACATTGCCGGCAATAGCCAATTCATCCATGGCACGTTGGTCCGCCCAATCAGCAGCTACCATTAGGGTACGAAGCTCGACAAAACACAACTTCCTACCTCCCAATTCAGAAACGAAACCATCCTCTGCCAAATCAACAGCCCAATACACCAAATCTTCTTCCTCCTTGGGACCTAAATACACAAGCGACTCCTCGTTCAGATCAACCCCACAACTCGCTAACAAAACCTTACAATCAGCCAAGCTGACCCAACCCAGATGCCAAATCGGCGTCGTATTAGCATCCCCACCGCTCGAGAACACCAGTGGACGGCCTTTGCTAAAGGGAAGGACTTTAAAATCAGGGGAAGGTGTGGAGTGATTTGGGATCACTGGAATTAGGGTTTTCAGGGATTCGAAAGCAGAGGTGGGTGAGAAAGGATCGGTGGATTTCGGAGTTTTGGACTTCAAGGGATTGCCTGCGAAGGCATGAGTCTTTAGGTTCATCGACATTGTGAGAGCAGAGAGTGTTGTTCTTCTGGCTAAGCTTAGAGTAACTGATCTGGAGAAGAAAGAGAGAGTTTGATACGAAGAAGACGAGAGAAAGAGAGCGAGCATCTCTGTTTTCTTCTCCCCATTGTTTCGCGCTTGATGATGATTGATGTTAGGTTAGGGCTCCCACACAGTGTGAGAAATGAGCAACGATGATTCAGAAGAGTCTCGTCCTCACACGTGTCAAGCTATGCTCCACACACGTGTAAACTTTGCAATTGGTTACTTTATTGATGCGCAAGTCTGTCGGCGCCTACTCTGAAGCTTTTTTAAATTAATCAATATTTGTAACCCTCTGATTGTTAACAAGTCTGTATCCAAAACATCGAACGGCTGATTCGGAGTCGGAGATGTGGATTTTACTAGATGATGTGGGTAACAAAAACACAACTGATGCACCTATCAGTGGTCGGGTTGGCTGTGTTTTTGGACGTGTCAAAGGAGAAGATTTACTACTAGACGAATTTGTCTTACACAAATATTCCAATCAAACATTGTGAAATTCTGAAACATCCAAATCAATCAGACTCTCAAGAGTTCATCAGAAAGCTACATCATCGAAGACGAAAAGCATCAACCTTCCAGGCCGAGGGTGGATGTCAACCAAGCGCACAACTCATCCATCTCCTGTGGGATTGTGTAGTGACCAAGTGCACTGTAAGGTTTAAAGGTCACCTTCTTAAACCCATTTGAAAGCAAGGCTTGGGAAGATTTCTCCCCAAACTTGAACGGTACCACATCATCAGCTGCAAACCAAATTACGTAGATCAATCAACATGAGAACAGCAAGAAAATAAAAATCTTTAAAATGTAACCCTTCTTTTACTTGAATCACTGTTATGGAACAATTTGAATAACTAGAAGTAAAATGCATCTATAAGAATATTTTTCTTTGAGAATATAAAATGCATCTATAGCAAGGTTCAAAACCAAAAAGATGACCATTAAAAATACTGAGAAGTGAAACAGTTCAGAAACTAAGGGTAATGTAATATGTACAATTACCTTTTCCATGACAGACTATAATGGGCAATGATGCAGCTCGGTTCTTGATCTGTTCCTCTTCTAGTTTGCCAGCCAATGTCCTATGAGAAAAATATACACACCAAGGTGACCCCAATATCACAATTTAAACTAGGAGAACGTTACGAGAAGAGGTAAACATACTTTGCACAAGGAAGCCAACCGCTTAAGCCTATGATTGTGCTTAAATTGATAGGGTACGGATTGCCATTTCCATATTTACCGAGAGCAAAACAAGTTGCAGAATACAGAGATGTCGCCGCACCCATGCTGAACCCTCCAACACCTAATTTAACTTTGAGCAGTGAAAGATAAACACAGTTTAGAAACAGAATCCCGAATCTTGGGTTTTCAGCCACAGTTGAGGGCTCTGAATGCAAAACCACAGTCCAAAATCCAAACAAAAGCATTTTAACTTAAATATTCATACGAAAAGGATAAAAACTCGAAAGGGATAACTCTAGAGATGCCATTCTCTTCTGAACTTAAGTGGCTGACATGTAGTCCGCATTACATCATATGAAGTTAGTTGAATAGTAAACAGATAATGTTATGGAATGTATAATATCTTGGACATCAACGTAAAGAACAGAACATCTAAATTCTAGCACGAACAGTTGTCTTGCAAAGACCAAAAGCTGAAACTAAGAATAGCATCAAAGTTTCAGTTAGTTCCCAGAAGACACTTACATTGTCAATAGGGAAGAGTTCCTATCACCATTAAGTCAACCAGTAACTAACTAGAGTAAAGTCAGATTTCTGTTTGACTCCAGAAGTCCTGCCTAGTAACTTTCTGTAGTGAAGTCATATATTTTGGCTTTAATGTCAAACCAGTGTAATACTTATAGTTGAATGATATTAGCTCTTGAAAACCTCCAAATCCTATTGTTTCTCTCTCTAGTTCTACTCCCTTAATCTGTCTCCTTTTATATCTTGAATCTTTCTAACTCTACTCTACTCCCTTAATCTGTCTCCTTTTATATCTTGAATCTTTCTAACTCTGCTCGGCATACTCGCTATATAACCTCCTTTCAATTGAGGATATCTACTCCTTCAATTTCAAAGAGATGTTTCCCCCTAGATTTGAAACTTTACTATCAAGCTGCAATAGTGTACCGTACATCAACTTGCAGAAATTATAATCGTCATGTTTACTCAGTCTTCTTACTATTTCAGTGATCACTGATCAGATGGAATGAATATTCAAGTTTGGAAGGAAAACTTACTGTCAGCAGGCTCATTCGACAACAGATTTGCAACATGTGCAGCAGCCACATCCAATCCTTCCATATCATCAGGTCCATCTTCATTGATGTCCACAACATCAAACCCTATAAAAATTAAAGTAGCATCTCATCAAATCTTTTCTCACACAAAATACTTCACTACTCATAGTCATTGACATTCGTGCACAAGTCTGATGAGAGTGTCTATAAAGAAAGGTAAAGAATGCTCTATCTGTTGTACCAGATATGTATTGCCTCCAAAGAGAGAAGTAAAGTACATTTTTCGGTTAAAGGTAAATTATATTGTTGACTGAAAAAGTAAGATCCTGTAAAAACTTGTCCCTTATGTAGCATAGCAGAAGATTAATTTTGGCGTAGAAATTCCCAATATTTAGAAAGAACAGTATAATGTTCCTTTGGTCTAGTGAAGTGCAGCCGAACCAATGATGTGTTGTCTACTGACTACTACTCTAAACCAAAAGCTAAGATGAGCTTCCTACTACAGACGTTTAAAGAATTTGATCTATAATTGTGAGCTTATCCCGTACCACTTGGTTGACTACTTTGTTTACTAGTTCACGAATATCAAAAACCATAATTGTTGTTTAACTGGCCCATGGCACATTCTCTTGTATGAACATGATTAAATTGAATCGTATTCTCTTTAACCTACCTGTCTATTTACATTAGGAATAGATTCCACTAACGAGAATGAAAAATGAATGTTATGAAGCAAAATATACTTACAAGCTGTGGAGGGAAAACCACCAAACAAACTTATTGGCTGAGAAGGAGCAGTCGGGCATATCCATTTGATCTACATTTCAAATACAAAGATGGGTTAGTATCCATAAAGGTAAATTAACTGAGCAGGTTTAAAATAATCAAGGCAGCTACTGGATATCACTTAAAGCTGATAACTCACATTTGGAAGGGGAAGGGTCTCCAAAAGCTGGGACCAGCTGCAGTCAGGAAACAAAAGACTTAAGGTACCAACTTTTTATACTAATTGTGTATCAAGTTAAGTTTGTACAATCAAGACGATGAACGATGTAAGATTTGAATGCTAAAATAAGTTGCATTCATTACTGATAGTAAGTAGTCTACAGCTTATTTACAATTTCCACAATTCCAAAAATCCCCGGATCTAGAATGCAAACCGTAATATGGAAGCCATGTACAATAAAAACTACAGTGGTAGCTGATTTTCCAAAATGAAAACAAACTTCAGACAGAAAAAGAATGACCTCGAGCCATTGTCCCCAAGCCCATGTAGCCAGACAATAGTTGCTTGATGTTTCCCTTTAGGCCTAACCACATGAGTTTTCCCAAACTCTACCGCTCTTCTTAAATTTCTGCCTGCAAGTCAGAGTTTTATTTAAGATTCTCCATTTGAACTCGCTCAAAACCGAAACAATATGTAGCAGAAAAGAAGAATTCAATATACTAACCTGAACCAACTGCAGCACCGGAGATACTCATACTGGAGGAGAAAAAAGAATGACCCTGCAAGAAAAGGAATACATCAATTATTACACACAACATTAATTAAATCATGAATGATGAATCCATGGACATAAGAGAAAACAAATACCACATTGTTCAAAGTTCAAACCTAAAATCAAAGAGAAAGAAACCTTTAGAACTTCAAAGTGAGAAAAGATTAAGAAGTAAAGACAACATCCCTTGTTCCCAATTCCAACCATTATATTCATCAGACGGATAACGTCAAGAAATTCACAGACGAAATCCAAAAACAACAACAAAGCTCTAAAAGAGAAATATCATTAAAATCTTTAGTCCGTTCAGACATTGTGCAGGAAAAAGGCACAAATTGCTCGATCGATCGACAAAAGTTCCAAGGATTCACGGAAACCCCAGATACGAAAATTGCGTTTTGTCTTTGACGACGAAATTGCAAAACGAAACCAGAATAATACATTACAGAGCAGATGCTAAAAAAATCGCATAGAATAAATATATCACCTGAGACAGTATCTCGGCGAGGGTTAAATCGACGGAGAAGTCTAAGGAAGCAAAAAGAAACCGAGCTTTTTAGCAGCAGGCAATCCATAAAACTCTGATGTGGATTGCACTTTTATGTTTGCCTTAACGTCCTTCAATGTTTTGTTCTTTTCACTTTTGTCCCCAAACCTTTTGTTTTCATCAGTTTCTCTTCTTCAATAACATGAGTGGGAGATTCGGTTTACTTTGAACCAAATTCGGTTTATGATTCATTGACTTTCTTCTATTCATAACCAATTGGTCACATAACTTGATTGATCTTTATATCCTCACTATTGATTAATTTGAGATTCAGCATGCGTCTCCTCGAGCTGATGGTTCTTCTAGTCATTCATCTCGAAATAATGGATCATATCAATTTTGATTTAAATTTGACCGACATGTGTTCTGGCACTAATATCATGTTGAGTTTCATAGACTTATATTAATGAGTAAACTTGCAACTAAAAACTAATTTAGCTTATCAACAACCTACACTTTGTTCGTTATAAATTGTGTTTATTACATATCAAATGATTAATAGTAACACACCAAACATACTCAGTTTTAGATTGAAACAAAACAAAAATCTAGCGTGGAGATATGGGAGATATGATACTAGAGCAAATGGATGATAAACGAAAATTCCTCTCCCTATGGATTTGCAATTTCGGGATATTTTTTACCCGTCGAACACCGGTACTTGCATCATCATCATCCGCAGCCAAAAGATCGACCACAACAACATCTGAATCCGGTGGCTCCTTCACGGGAACTCTCCCTTCAATCATTTCAATTACCATAGTCATATCAGGCCTATTCTTAGATTTCTCTTGTATACACCACAAAGCCACACACACCAATTTCATCACTTCCTCTTCATTTACCTCATTGGCTTCTATCAGCCTTTGATCTACAATCTCCATTATTTTTCTTTCTCTCATCTTTTGGTTCACAATCCTTGGGAAATACTCTAACTTCTTCTTTTTTGTTTCCTTAACCTCTACCCTTGAAATGCTTCTCCGTCCTCCGATCATCTCTAGTAACACAATCCCGAAGCTGTAAACATCGGATTTCTCCGAAATACCGTGTTCAAGAAGCCACTCGGGGGCTAAATACCCCCGAGTCCCACGGATATCCGTTAGAACTCTGCTCTCATCTCTAGCAATCAGCTTAGAGAGTCCGAAATCGGTTACCACCGCTCGGAAATTCTCGTCTAGTAGAATGTTTTCAGGTTTGACATCAAGATGCAAGATCTTAGATCGACAATCATGATGAAGATAAGCAAGAGCTTTAGCTACATCAATAGCAACTTGGTACCTTTGTTCCCAAGACAAGCATCCTCCTCCGGATCTTCTTCTGTTTCCTCTATCCGGAAAAATCCAGATATCAAGAGACGAGTTTACGATATAATCGTAAACGAGGAATCTCGGACGATTCGCGGAAACCGCAGACGAATAACCGTAAAGACGAACTAGATTCTTGTGCTGAACAGAAGCTATGGCAGCTACTTCGGATCTGAACTCTCTTTCTCCTTTCTCTTCTCCTTCGATTCTTTTCACAGCTACTTGACTTCCGTCTTTTAAAACTCCTTTAAACACCGAACCGGAACCGCCTTTTCCGATCAAAGATCTGAATCCATCGGTGGCTTCTTCAAGATCTTCGAGCTTGAATTTCGTTGGAACTCCTGCGACTTTTCTCAAGAAACTGTACTCGATTCGGAGCTCTCTACCTTCGGAGACGAATCTTGATACCAAGAGCTTTCTTTCTTTGTTGTAACGGCTACGGATTATGAGGAAACAGATCACGGCGAGGATCAATGAAATGTCGACGCCGGCGATGAGATAGAATGTTTTGGAGAGTTTTAGAGAAACTCGGGCGGCGATTATCACCACGACAAGGGCTATGATTAATATAGTAGCGATTATGTTTGCTTTCTTGTCCTCCATTAGAGGGCTTTTAGAGCTTCTCTGACATCATTTTTTTTTTCCTTCTGATGAACACTCTCGTGACCAGAACAAAGACGAAATATTTCAAACTAGACCAAAAAATACAGGGATTTGTATTTTATCGTTTTCTGTTTTTTCGTTGAATAATATTAAAAGTAAAAAGGTATATTTAAAATCTGACATAGTTTTGGATGAGTTCATGGTCGTGTAATTTAGTCATAACTTAATTAATTTTTCCAACGAAATTAATTATTTATACATATGTAGAGTCGTGGAAAATTTACATTGATATAAGTTAGGTTTGTCATAAATTATCTGAAAAAGAGCCATTAATTAGCATCTGCAAGTTGTGCCAAGTTGTGCATCGGGTGTGTGTTGAAAAAAAATTCGAATCTTTAGGAAAATTTGCCACGTTGGGTTTAGCATGTCGGTTTAACTGGATTAATAATGGGGTTTTTAGGTTGACAATAATTAATAATGGGTTAATATGAATAATGGGTTAACACTACGAATCAATTAAGCCAGCATGCAGATTGATTATGTAACGAATATAACTGGATTTTGTGGAACTGAACAACTCAATTCGAGACTTCGAGTTAAAAAAAAAAGTATATTGATTTTTTTTTCGTTGGTAAAAAAAAAATAGTGTATAATTTCGACAAAATTAAGTATTTGTTACTGTTACTGTCTGATTGTGCGTTTTTGTCTTGGTCAACGGTACTTGCTGTGGTTAGTTAAAAACCTTTTGGCTTCTTTTTTTCTGGTCAACTGATATTAGCCCTACGAGACCCCTTCCTATTGGTTGGCCGACTCTACGCTTCATTATCATTTTTTTTTCTCATAATATCCAATTTTGACTTCTTCAAATTTAAAATTTGTGACAGAAAAAGCTTTAACCACAAGCAAGGAATAGCCAGCCATATCAAGATTGAGTAGAGCACGATTAGTCAAAAAAAGTTGCTCCGTGTACTGTATTGATTTTTGCAAGTATTTTTTTCAAGCAGCTTTTTTTTTCCCCAAATAGAAAGATCAAGTACTTTACCCCGTACGCACACCACTCTCAACCAGAGGCTGTAGCCAAGTAGGGATTACATTATCAACTATCAAGTGAATAATCAAAAGGCAAGAGATAGAAAAGATTCTATAGAATGACTATTCTAAATTCTCAGTAAGGAGTATTAGCAATATTGGGTATGCATGCAAGGTACGTATTTATACAACTCGCTCGTAAGAAACTATGAAATACGTAATTTTGATGTAACTTTTGTGGCAGATTAACCAAGAGTTGGTTGGAGTAAGTGCACGATCATATTATAAAATTTGTACAAAAGTAGACAAATCAAATCACACATTAATTGACGCAGGCCGGACAAAATTCAAGAGAGACTGTGATAGTACTCTTTAGTTCTGTACATTCATCGATACAACTTGTATTCATAAAGCACAACATATGTAACGGAGAATGGACTACATAATCTTGTTCTGGTGAACTAAGGCCATGAATCAATACAATAAAAACCCTTGAAACTCTCCAGAGGTTGACACCTCAGCTTTTTTAAGCTTTGTGGAGTTGACACCTCATTTAAAATGAATAACCAAAGAAAACATTCTAAATAATACAACTCATTTTTAATATCCAATAACACTACAAGAAAAATGGCTTTTCGTAGCACCCGAAAAACGCTATCTAACGATACTATAGCGTTTTGACAAGCGCTATTTCTGCGCCCGTCATAATAGGTCAGACACTTTAGATAGCGCTTTTTCGTAATGCTATTTTATTGTTCTATACAATAGCGCTTTAGTAAATGCAATTAAATATTATATAATAGCGTAGTTATGTTGTTATTAATAATATTATTAACAACGTTTTAGGCAATGTTATGTTAATTATTAATTTATTATAGCATTATATTAATTTATCTATATTTCTGTTTTATATAATTTGAATCGATATAAAAATATTAAAATCTGGGTTTATATTATCAAATACTTCATTAATTATTTGTTCCAAAAGAGTCAAACATAAGTTTTACATTTTTAGAAACTTAGTTCAAAAGTACTAAAACTCAAATCACATGAATATAATCTTGTCATTAGGCCAAGCCACAGTGGTTCCTACTGCATCAGCAATGAATTTAACTTCAGAATTTGCTCTCCACACTCGTGCACCCTCAACCTTGGAAACCTCTACCCAGACCTTGCTAGCGTTGGCACCTAAAGGGACGTGATGGACCTTATCTGCTGGATCAGTTGAAGACACCCGACCTATTGCAACTCTCTGCCCAGTGTTATCAATATCTAATAGAAAACACTTCTGCTTAGCACCTTTGCTACTAGCAGTGCTGGGAGTAGTAGCACTGGGAGTAGTTGCACTCTAAAATCAAACATTATAAAAAGAATTACATCAGACTAACATCACAGCAACATCAACACAATCCAATACAACATGTGACTACCCTAAGATATCCAAGTTTAAGTATTCATACCATTTAAATTAAAAACTAGTTGCAGAGAAACTTACTTGAGGTGATTTTCTGGTTGATTCATCATTTGCAGGTATCTCAAGGAGTTGTATTCTATCAATAGGCCATGCGATGGTCTCATTTAGTGCATCACTCATCAATGAGATTGGAGGATTTGGTCTCCACAGATAAGCATCAGGTTTAACCACCTCCAGGACCTTAACAACTGCAGCACCATGTCCCAGAGGTCTACCATCCACCAATTCATTATGGTCAGTTGACAACAACATACCCTCAGCAATCATTTCATCATCTCCACTCCAATATTGAAAGATTTTAATTCTTCCTAGTGTTTCATCTGTTGGCTAATGTATCATACAAGCATATATCTATATTAGTAATCTAACCAATATGAATTTAAGAGGAACTCAATAGTAGTTGTAATTTACCTGCTCTGATTCCACACTCTTAGTAGGTTGGGACAAGTTAATATCCTCATCCAATATAATCTTGTCAAGTGGCCATGCAATTTTATGTCCAACAGCTTCACCAAGTGTGAAAATGGTTGGAGTAGGTCTCCAGACAGATGCATGTATAACTGTTGTGGACTTCACAAGTACAGCAGCTGCATTGCGACCCAATGGTATTCTACCAATCTTGTATGTGTGTTCACTGGAGCAGAATTCTCCTTCACCAACAACCACGTCAACATTTGAACACCAATCAAGAAGCTGGCACCTAACTCCTCCTTTGCTAACATTGCTTAAGTCAGACATGGAAACATCATCAGTCTGTCTCTGCAATGACCAAAAAAACACATAATTAACCAAAACTTATATAAGTTGGCATTGTGAAACAATGAGTGCCAAAAGGTTTACCTTTTTACTAGCTAAGTTACTAACCACATTCTGCAAATTTTCAAGCTTACTTTGCAATTCTGCTTGAGAAGCTTCAAGCTTCTTGACATGAGAGTCTCTTGCTTGTAAGAATGCTAACTTAGTAACAGTTGCGCCTCTGCCCATCCCCCTAACTCTTCCTGGTCTGTCTTTTCCTAGTACCTGACTCACAGCATCTTCCCTAACATTATCCGTGGATGTGGTGGAGTCCATTTCACTATCAATGGTCTTGATCATTTCCTGACATCAAATTTTATATCACAATATGTAGAAACAATCTTTAAAGTAACCTGAATAACAATTGAAAAAGATTTTAAGTGCTACTTACAATAGTTTCTGCAAACTCTTCCCTCACAGGTCTCCCATCAGAATGTGTATGTCCTGCTATCCACACCTTACTTCTAGTAACTTTTCTAGGATCAGAACTGTTTTTTTTCTACAAGTTCATGCACATATACATGAGTAAATTACTAATAAAAGTACCCAATGCAAAACAAAATATATACCATCTCATCAGCTAAGCGAGTCATTCCTTTGCGGCTTGTAGTATGAGGAATTTGACCCTTCCTCAGTTGCCTGTATTTCTCACTTCGTTCCTATAGACAAAAAGAGTCAGATGAGTATAACTATTTTAAGGAAATTAATCAAAGGAGTGTAAACAATAACCTTAAAAGCTGCTGTGCATTTGTTCTTAACCCAACTGTTCCAGGCTGATGTACATTGGATGTTGCTAGGCTTCAGTTTCTGGAAAGTATCTCTCCAACTGGCACATTGTTTCTATAACTTCTGATTCTAATGTAACAAGCTTCTCTGGATCAATTACACGTTGGCACAATCTATTGAAGAAATTGCAGATACGATTCACTGCAATACGAGGTCCTCTAGGCAGCAAACCTCTCAATGCCACAGGAAACAAATTTTGCAGCATAACATGGTGGTCATGTGACTTCATACTACCAATGTTGGGAGGATCTACTGACACACAATTGGATATGTTGGCACAATATCCATCTGGTCCTCTGAATTTGGATAATCTTCTGCAGAATTTTCTTTTTTCCTCCTTAGAAAGCCAATACGCAGCTGGAGGCAAGTAAGTTCTCTTCCCACGCTTCTGTGTGTGTAAGTTGCTACGAATACCAATGTCCTCTAAGTCTTGTCTTGCTTTTAAACCATCCTTGGATTTTCCATTATGCATCAGAATTGATAGTAGTGCATCAGAAACATTTTTTTCCACGTGCATTACATCAATATTATGCCTTACAGGCAAATCCTGCAAAAATTATTACAAGTTATTGTTAGACACTCAATAACAGATAATAAAGATTAGTTTAAATTAAAACTGATGATAGTAATAATTATTCTAACCTTCCAGTAAGCCAACTGAAAGAAGATTGACATTTTTTTCCACCGCCATTGATCATCATCTTCTTCATACTCTTGAGCTGCAATCACATCATCATCATCATCATCTGCTTCCATCCTCTTTCTCTTGCCTTTCTTTTCTAAAGGTCTACCAAATTCATTCCTAAAATCTCTAAGGCACTCATAGATTTCTGCTCCACTTTGAATCCTATTAGCAGTACCAAGCTCAACTGTATTGTCAAACCACACTTTCCTACGCCTGTAAGGATGATCAGGCCTCAAACGCCTTCTGTTTCTCATATAAACATGCTTGCGACTGAACTTTAACCATCTGTGAGGTGTATCCTTCCCACAAACATTACAAGCTTGCTTCCCCTTCACCTTACATCCTGCTAATGTACCTAATGCTGGATAGTCAGTAATACTCCATAGAAGCATAGCTCTTAGAGTGAAACTCTCCTTCTTAAATGAGTCATAAACTACCATACCTTCATTCCACAAGTCTTTTAGGTCATCTATCAGAGGTTGTAGATATACATCAATGTTGTTGCTTGGTGCGGTTGGTCCAGGTATCAACATTGTCAACATTATGTTCTCAGCTTTCATACACTCCGTTGGAGCCATATTGTAATTGACTAGCAGCACTGGCCATGTGCTGTACTTGGTGTTTTGGATGGAGAAAGGATTCATCCCATCAGTAGAAAGACCTAGTCTAAGGTTTCTTGCCTCTGCTGCAAACTCTGGCCATTTATCATTTACTTGAACCCATGTCAAAGAGTCTACTGGATGCCGCATTGTACCATCTTGACTAGCATTAGTGGAGTGCCAACGCAAGTCCTCAGCCAACCTTTTTGATCTAAACATCCTCCTAAATCTGTCTTTTATCGGAAAATACCTTAGCACCTTTGCTGGAATACCTTTCTTCTCCTCACCTGTATGCTTGTCCTTTTCCCATCTTGATTCACTACATCTTGGGCAGCTCACCAACTCCTCATATTGATTCCGATAAAGGATACAATCATTTCTGCAAGCATGAATAGAATCATAACCAAAACCAAAAATCTTCAGAAACTTCTTCATCTCATCTGTAGACTTAGGCAGCACATTGTCTCCAGGTAGCATGTCATGCACTAGTGTCAGAAGCTGATCAAAAAAGTTCTCTGACATACCACTCTTGACCTTTATCCTGTACAGTCCCATGATTGCAGAAACCTTTGTGTAGTTCATACATGTAGAGTACAATGGAGTTTCTGCATCCTCTAACTTCTTCCTAAACTCCCCTTCTTCTTTACTCTCTACTGTTTCAGACTCTTCTACATTATTCTGCTGAGATGATTGCTTGCCCTCGCTTTCCATAAAAGCTGTCCTAAACAAGTCATAAGCCTCATTTTCAGACGCATGAACATCTGTTGTCTTATCACTTATCTCCCCGTGTTTACTCCAACATTTGCTTCTCTTGTACTTAAGATCCATCCCTCTAATCACTAGATGCTCCAACACTGTCTCATTTGACTGATGAACCACATTCCGGCAATCAACGCAAGGACAGAACATAGCTAATACATTACCCAAACAACTTGTTGCATCAAGCACAAACTTAGTTGCTCCTTCCTCATACTCAAGGCTAGTCCTGTTAGCAATCAAAGAATTCAAATAAATCAAAAAAAGAAATCACAGACCCAAGCTTGTTCACAAAAAAATCAAAGAAGAAGAAGGACAGAAATTACCTTGGTAACCAGACCCAAGCTTTATCCATGGGAACAACTCCGACCAAAGGTGTTTACACAATCAACAACAAAACAATTGCATGCAGTTAAGCCACAACAACAGAATGACGAGATCTGATAGCGACAACAACAATAGAGAACAAGTGAGATACCTGGTAGAAATCGAGCAAGAACACGAAAACAAGCGAAAGAGGAAGCTGGATTTGAAGCGTTTTCGGTTACAGAGACGAGATTTGTGTAAATCGATTGAGACACCACCACAAGCGAAAGAGAAAGCTGGATTGTCGTGTATTTGGTTACAGACACGAGATTGAAGCTGGAGACGAGAAGATTTTCAGAACGATACGCGATTTCTCTAGGAGACGATTGAGCTTTCAGAGTGGAGATCGATTTGTGTGGGAGACGAGAAGATTTTAGGGCATGTGACTGATATTTGTGAGGCTCGAGTCTGATTGATGAAGATTTGGCGAAAATCGAGCAAAATCGAGCCAAAATCGAGAGGGAGAAATTTTAGGTCTAGAAATTTGGGGATTTTTGTTCTTTTGACCTGAGGAGCCAAAAAATTTCTAAGTATCGCGGGTTTCTTAATTACCGCCTAACCATATCATAGCGTTTTAAATTAGCGATCTGCTATTAATAAGCGTTTTAGAAAAAACGTGACAAAAGTTTTTAATATTACAATATATTATAGCGTTTAAAAATACACAAACGCTATCTTTAATAAAATGGTTTCATAACCATAGCATTTAGCCCACAAACGTTATGTTATACTGCTATAAAAACCCATTATTCTTGTAGTGTAAGAACCTTTTTTTTTTCACATCATCATCTCTCATAGAAATATCAAAATGGCCCTAAAATCGTGGGCTTAGCCCAGTCCGGTCCGGGTATGAACACAAAATATTAAATCCGTTAAAAAGTAGACTTTGCGAGCAATCCCACTCGGATAACGGGGTTTAGCAGGTTATGCTGGAGATTGGTGGATTGCCCCGCAGACTTCATATATATAATAAAAATAAATATATCATATATATAATTAAATAGTTTATATATTTTTGTAAAAATAATATGTAAAATATGTGATAATATAAAATTTTTATTATAAAAAGGATAATATTAAAAAAAATTGATGGTGTTTATACATTAGCTTTTTAGGCTATTCTCAGAGTAACACTTTTTAGGCTATTCTCAGAGTAACACATCATTAGAATTGATATCTAATCAAAATATAAGTACGGAACAAAACTGAACATGGTAATTAATTCAGTATCTCTAGCTAATACGATTTTTGAAAATTCTAATTATTAATTCTTTCAAGTTGCAAAAGATATAAAATAATTAATAAGATTTAAATTATATAAAATTTATTATATTTAGAGTGCACATGGTAATGATATTTTTTTAAGGGAAATTGTTAAAAATCTCTTTTTTGGTGTGCCATTTTTCAAAAATACTCTTTTTAGATGTCCATTTTCAAAAATGCTCTTTTCTAGATATGAAAAATTTATAAAGTTTTATCAGGTTTATAAGGTATTTATGGATGGTAACTACTACTTGAAACTCGATCCAAATATTTATAAGGTTTTATAAGGTGTTTTTAATGTTTTACAAGACATTTTAAAGGTTTTTAAAGGTTTTATACGGTATTTATAAGATTTTAGATACATATAAAGATAGTTTGTATATGTTTTAATAATGTTACATATGTATTTGGGTAAATTTCATATTGTTTGGAGCATTTTTTATAAGGTTTAAAAATGTGACATTTTTGAAAACTGACATTGAAAATAAAGATAGTTTTTTTTAAAAATAAAGTTATTTAGTTGGTTCCGAGTGGTATAAAGGTAAACCATTAAGTTCAAAAATTTTATTTAATTATAGCAAATCACTAAATAAAAAATTCAAAAAATAACATTTGCTACGAAAATAAATTATTAACTGAAAAATATACTAGAATTTTACTTTTGAAACATCATCTTTTCATTAGATATTAATGTTGGGAATAGAGACTATAATTATAATTACAAAGTCTAATTACATAAATAAAAAACTAATCCCTAGAAGTAAAAATAATTACAATTTAAATACAAATTAAGCATTAAATTATAAAATTATATTTAGTTATATTAAATAAAAAATTTCAAAATAACAATAGGATTAATACAATAACAACAATTGGATTCTCTCCTAATCTAACAAATCAGCATTTTCAGCTTTCCTGGTTATGACACATCATTAAAAAGAAACTCTAATCAAAACATTTTAAATAATACAACCAAACTTTATTTGCCAATAATAATCTTCTATTCTGCCACGTCACTTGTTTCATATTATTAAAAACATACAAAAACAAAAAAAAATAACAAAGCCCAAAAGTATGACGAAAAAAATAAAATAACAAAGCCCAAAAGTATAAGCCCACTTGATAAAGTAGTGTTGAAAACATGGAGAGACTAATTAAAATTGACAAAACACGACTGTCTCTTCTTCTTCGTCATCATCTTCCTCTCGATCGGAAAAAAAAAAAAAGTTTCTATAAATCTGTTGAATCAAGCAGAGAAGAAGAAGAAAAAGAGATCATGAATCCATAATCTGATTATCCTCATCTCCCTAACATCAAGATCCACCATCCTTCATCTCCTC